AATTGAGATCTTAAAGATGTGTTTGAGTTTTTCTCCTTGAAAAACAGTCAATGCAGGAAGGCAAACTCGTGGTGATTTATCAATATAATATAATTTATTCATATCAATTTCTTATGTTGATATAATTCTGCGCTCGTTCCTCGCGAGTCACTGTGCATTTCAATCTTGAGTGAATTTTGTACATTTTCAACTCGTGATGAAGAAGAGGAGGAAAAAAAATGTCAAGATTATAGCCAATTGAGAGATCAAGGGAACAATTTATTTCCCAGTGTGACGCGATAAGAAGGCGCTCGGTTTAAGAATTGAAGTTGACAAGAGATGCTTTAAATTCGTAGTGGTTGAAATCGATTCGAGGCACTTGCATTAGAGCCATAAAGCCGCATAATTCCACAATGAATTTCTCTCTCTCACACTCTTTCAAATGGTTCGTGAGGCGAAAATAGTTTGCACACGGCAAAAGCCACCCAGTATAATCTGCCAACTCAACTTTCTAGGTCAGTTACTCGCGTGACGTAAGAATTTCGAGTGTGGCGAAGCAAAATTCGCGAAGGTGGGATGACAATATATATTGGTGCGACAAAAATTGGACTTCTTTAAGAAAATCCAGGCGGAATTTCCACGCGGAAGCAATTAATTCGCAAAGTAGGTGAATGGCCGAGTTGGTAATTAATTTTTCCTCCTCAATAGACTTTCATGTTGACTTGTGAGTCAGTGACAAAAAGAATGAGGCGAGGCAGAGCTGAAAATCGTCAGCGACGGGTTATCAGTCAGAGACTAATCGTCTTCTTGTTTGCCAAAGCATTAAAGGATATTTTTTATGCTAAACAGTCATTTAACGCTCTTTTTTATCTTTTGAAAAATTTGAATATTAACACTTGAGTGAGTTGAAGTGCATTGATTACGGAAAATGTGTACAACTGACTGTAATTAATGAGAGTAATCACGATGTTATCTGACTAAAAAATCACATTTCAGCCGGTGAAAAGCGCAAAGAGTCAAGTTTCTCTCTTGGGAGCCCCTTGGGCTGTGGTTACGGTTGAAAGATCCCCTCATTTTCACTCACAATTTGTGCTTTTGCCCAAGAGTGCACTTGAATGTTTATTTATCTCCAAATTAACCCATTTAGCGCTCATCTCAACACGTGCCTGACACATTTTTCACGCGCTCTCATTGAAGCGAGACGCGTGATTTCGCTCAAAATCCGCAATTTGGGTTATTTTTTCGAATGGGATTTAGCGAAAAAGAGAAGAGAAACTGGATCAGTTTATTTGACAGTGACAATTTTGTGCGTTGTTGATAATTGTAGAGATGGAAAGATTTCGCGTAATCTTTAGCTGTCAGATTGTGTAAAGAATGAATGTGTCAAAATGCAAATCATGCAAGCCATTGCGCTCCTTTCCAATTTCACATTGCAACGAACAATTTCCTCGTTAATTATTTCAATTGAATTACTAAACTAACCTCAATTATTACATAAACAAACAGAGGTCTGATTACTACATGGATATATTGTAAGGCCTGCACCTATCTCACTCTCACCACGGCCAAAGGCGCTCTCTTTGCTCGCTCGTGCGCGTGCAGTGCAAGTGAGAAGGTTATAAATGATGCAAAAGAGATCAGAGAAGAAAAAACAGGCAGCGAGTGAAAAATCCGAATGAGGGGATCACAAAAGAGGGGGAAAATGCAAGTTTACAGTTGCACTTATCTTCACTCGAGTGTGCAATTGACAAGGAAAGTCAACTTTTTGTGTCATGTATTCTATGCATTGTTGACATAGTCTAGTGTCACTGTGACAGCAAATTTACTGTCTAAATAAGGATCGTTTTCAAATTGAGTGTTTTTTTTGTAAAGAAAATCGTTAAGCATATCATGTCACAAAGCGCGTAAAAATTGCTCTTGAGCCACACAGCAAAGACAGATAATCGTGGATGAAACTCGTTTTGCAGTGGCTTTTTTCTTCCACTTCTCTCCTCATCTTCTCACCAGTTGATCTCACTCTCCCCACTTCAATCTCAAATCCATCCGAGGGAGAGAAAGACACAAGACAGAGAGACGAAGGAAAAAAGTGGGAGAGAAGAAGTCCAAGAAATTCAGAGAGAAAGCGAAGTTCATCACACTTTTTTGCCGATTCCATATCGATCCTTGTCCCACGCGTGGCACCCTTCATCGGCGTTTCACTCCCACGATTGTATTTTGTGATTTTGGAATCGAAGGGCCGATTGCAGATGAAAGGCCATGCTTTGGGACGACGAAAACATATCGCGGAGGGATTAAATAATGCATGAGGGAGAGAAACTCCACTTCTCTCACATTGGAAGGAAGCTGCAGACGATAAAAAGTCGAGAGGCATAAGCACAGGTTTGTGCGAGACAGACACATTAAGTTGGGAGATACGAAGAGCGAGAGAGCATAAAAACGTATCATTGAATTCAGTGCTGTAATTTCCAAGGCAAACATCGCGAAATGCTTTATCGCTGAATTTACAATAAATTTTCAGAGGCTCATTCTCAACGTCCTCGCTTCTTAACGCTGTGCACAGAGTAAGATACATTGCAGAGCTGGGCGAAATGTGAGACATTTTGACCCAAATTGTGTTATATGGCTTATTGATTTGTGTTTTTTTTCTGTGCGAGGGAAATTTAGTGTACTATTTTGCAGGGTGAGAGACTTTCCCTTGACACACTCTTCCTGATATAATCCAGCTAATATTAGTGCTCACTTGTTAGGATGGTGAACGCGCGCGTTCAATAGATTTACAGTCGAATGCAAATTAGTCGTAAAAGTGCAGATAATTGAGATGGTAATCTTGAAAAAAAGTATTTGCGGTTAGCTGCATTTGATGTTTAGGGGAGAGTGAAGCTAATTATGGGCAGGTAGACAATCATGCGTGTACACATGGGTTACTTTTACGACATGAAAATCACGTGATGGACAAAGTGTGAGACTGAAATGATTAGGAATAATAAATTTATTCCAAAATGTGACTTTATGGTGAATCATGAGATATTCAAGTTCAATGTTATCCGTCACAGGGCAATGAAAATGTTCTATACCGTGTCTGTTTCGTTTTATAACAGAATCGGACGTTCTATTCTATCTAGAAATGAGCTGTCTCAATTAATTTCACACCATAATTGTAATAATAATAATTGAAGGTGCTTCGATCGAGCTCAAACGCGGCATTCAAAGATGATTTAATAACAGATATTTACTGTTTCTGGTTTTGCTAGATTGCTAGATAATAGTGTGATATCACAATTATACACTCTGTTATTAAGATATGTTGGCGTTTTGAACACTTATTAAAAAGTCAAGCCCTTTATTTGTTGGAGTAGAAAATCCTCAGTGTTGCTTCAAGTTTACTTCCCGAATAAAACACCGGTAAACTGACATGTTCACGAGATAAGATACTGTCGTTATAGAGCTTCAAAATAGCTTCGCATAATCCTATCTAATTGTTTACGCTTTGAATGTAAACAATTACCACTGTTTTGTATACAAATCAAGTAATCATAACTTGTCTGCAAAAATATCTCACATTTATCGATGCCACCACACTTTATTCTACAAACAACTCTACATCGTGAAACAACTGAGATTCACCCGTCTTTGGGGGGTAATGAAAAAAAAAATCAATTGGCCCTTACAATAATTTAAGAGGGAAAATTTGCTGTCACGCAAGCATTTTTTCCCGCTAACATTCGCAATATTCTCACCAATTTATCGTGGACAAAGCAGCGCAGAGAGACTTGATAAGGAAATTCAGCTTTTCAATCTCCATCGTGATTTTGAGGTCATTGCCACGGCGTGGGTGACTGGCTGATTTCGCGAATGGTTTTCCTGCCCTCGAGAAAAAGCAGCTTTGGCGCGAAAAATAGGCCCGAAAAAGTGTAATTTGCGTGGGCGTTTCAAAGGCAATGGCATCATGGTGTATTTTTGGCGCGAGATTTGTTTCATAGACATGCGAATTGACTTGCATTTGAGACAATGTGAATCCTAATCGATTAATTAGCCTTGGTTTTGAGCCTCCTTTCCGCCCGCCGGACATAAATAATGATGTGAAGCGGAAGAATGGTGAAAGTAATTGAATCTGAATCCCATGACAAAGGAGACACACGACGGAAAGGATGCCGGGTTTCTCATCCTCCTTCTATCATGGCGAGTCGCGTCGACGCAAAATCCCCGTCGTGGAAACTCCCTTGAGATTTTTCTCAATGGTGTGTGCAGCAGCAGCACTTTGTGGAAAGATACGTTTTTATATGATAAAAACTTTTCGGGGAAAATACCCAGAATTTTCACGCGCCAATCAACGCAAAAGTGATGGCGAATAGGCGCCAAAAAGCAACGGATTCGCACGATTAAGCCTCAATAGACTACTCAATGAAGTTTCATTTGGGGACAAATATCGCTCTTTAACATCGCAATTCACAAACAATCTGTCTTTTCCTGCTGTTCTTGTACTATTTATAGACTCTTGTGTTTTCGGTTTGAAGGAGTCTTGAGAAAGTGCTTGAAGTCATTTGGTTTTGTGGGTTTGGATAAAGTTTAATTGCTTTAAAGAAGCTGGAATTTCATAGCACTTTTCTGCGATCGATTAAACAAGAGTCATTGTCGCGAAAATGAGTAACTAAGTGTGTGAAATGGCTAATTCTTCGATTATTACTTTAATTCTCAGCTTGTTGGAATGCCATAAAAACAATAAGATTTTCATACATTCGTAGCTAAAAATTTTGTTAGTTGGTTAGAGTTTAAATTAAGCTTAAAATTGAGTATTATAATTTAAGCACGACTCCAAGAATTTTAACCCCTTACTAAACAGAGTCGGTGCTTATCCACTTTCGCAGTAATTGAATGAGGCATTGATAGGTTGAAAAGTTTTTGTATAACCCAATAATGCGATTGAAAACATAGGAATTCACTCTGGAGTTGAGTATCGGGGATTAATTGGATCGAAACTTTGATTGCAAAAGCTACAATTTGAATTTTTCCTTCCATTTCAGGCTCAAATACTCAGTGACAATGGAGAGTGGCGAGAGAGTTGAGGAGAAACTTCCGGACGCCACGGAGGACACATCACAGAAGTGTGAAGAAGCTCCAGAAGTGCCCAAGGTGGAAAAGACCAATTCCGGGGTGGCGGAAGATGCGCCGAAAGAAGATCCTGTCGTAGAGGAGAAGGTGGATGAGGCGAAGGAGAGTCCAGTGGAGCTCACAGAGGGTGAGGAGGTGAAGTGTCCAGAGAGTAATTTAATAGAATTCAAGGGCGGTGGTCAGGAGGATTCCACAGAGCGTGAGGATCGTGTTCCGCATTCCACCACGAGTTTGCGCGGCTCTGAGTCTCCGATTCCGGTGGGAAATTTGCCTCCACCGCGCTCGAGGCGGCCACAATTGATGGACAATCTCAAGAGGAAGACCACATCAGAGAGTTCGGAGCCTGAGAGTCTGGAGGATGAGGATTCACCACCGCCGAGCGTGGCGCCCAGCGTAGCGCCGGCCAAAGAGGACACAGACCTCACCAGTGGATATATCAACAAGCGGAGTAGCTTGTATGTGAAGAATCCGGACTTCACAAAACGCATGAATCAAACACCACAGCCACCGACTGCCCAGGTGTCCACGATCCGGAGCGCTCCTGTGTCCAATGACTTGAGCCCATTGCGAATGAAGCCGCCGGATTTTACAAAAATCGTGCAATCCAGCCCTAAAGCGGCACCGTCACCACAGAATGTGACACCCAGTAATTTCGAGGAGATCAGCAGGAAGTACAACTACATCAGCGATCTCCAGCTGAAACCTAGTACAGCTTCGCCGGCGAGCACGAGTTACAGGAATCTCTACGTGAGTGCACCTACATTCACATCACACAAGTTTCACGGGGATGCCAAGCCTGAGGAGGCGACTGAAGAGCCCACGGCGCATGTTATTCACAAGAAGCCTCAGTATTTGCCGCCAAGTCCGCAGGAATCAGTGGCGAGGGGTTACAAGAGTCAGCAGTATTTGCCCAAGACGGATCGAGTGGCGCAGAAAACCTATGCATACGGGAGTCCACCAGTGAAACCCGTTACACCCAAAGCGTCTGTGATACAGCAACAGGTGCCGCAGGATTTATACGGACAGCGCGCTTATATGATGCCACCGCAAGTGGCCAGAAGTCCAGTGGTTATCAAACACCCGCCCAGTCCTGGTGGCTCTATGAATCCACCGCAGAATTGGCCGGGAAGAGTGACACCTCAATCTCCTCACAATGGCTCTGCCCACAGTCCGAACTTCCTCCAGCCGGCGCCGGTGTATAAATCCTCGCCATCGCCTCAAGGGAACTCCTATTATCCTCCCAATGGAGGCACCTATTACGCCCCCAAAGCGGTTGCCAAGGAAAAGCCTCCCATTGAGTATGTGGATCTCACCAAATCAGATGGGAGATCTGCTCGCAGTGAATCCCTGAGCAGGAGTCAAGTGTATGAGATGCGCCACTCGAGTTCTGAGAGCAATCTTGCCTACTACAGACAGATGAAGGAGTCTCAGCAGCAACCCATGCCTTATCCAGGGAGTTCCTCTAAACAGAGCGTTCCATATAGATATCCTACCCATCCACCAGTTAAGGAGACACTCCCGAAGACCTACAGGTAGGAATGGTCCTTATTATTGTAGGAAGTGGCACTAAACGTTATCGCTTAATCACTTTTAGGTATCCTCAGTCACCGCAGGAGCCTGTTTACGAGAGAAATCCTTCCGTAATCGAGAGACTTCCCTCCGCAGCTCCGTCTGCAGCTTCCTATGAACCTCCGCCTGTGGTGAAAGTGAAGACAGAAGTGCCTCCGAAGGCGCCAACAGCCACAGCAACGACCAATTCCGTCTTCGCGCCAGTGAAAAGAGAATCCCCTTTGGACTTGTCTGTGAAGACAGTGAAGACTAAGGCGGATTCTACGGGATGTGATGACATTGGATCGAGTTCCAGCAAAGCCAGAGAGGCTTCCCATGCTCTTAAAGTGAACTACGTGCCAAACTTCCAGAAGCACACCCAGGAAACTAATGAGTATCGTCCACCTTTTGCGGGATATGAGGCTGCACGACCGATCCCACCCAATGCAGGCCAAGTTCTGGCCAAGAGGGTTGCAGTACCTGAGCCACAGCATCGGAGTGCGTATGTGAAGCCTTCAGGGAGTTACTATCCTGCCCAGCCACCGCGGGCAGCGGAACCGCAGAGGAGTGACTATCCAGCGGGAATGTACTATGATCCCAAGAGACCCGCCGAAAGGGTGGCCTATTACCCGCGAGAGTCCGTCCTGCAACCGCCCAATGCCACCAACGTGATAAAATCGGTGAAGCAAGAGTACCAGTATCAACAGTATCCAGCGAAGCCCGAAGTGAGAACTCCGGTGGCGAGATATGAGAACCATGTGGGATATAAGTATCCACAAGCCATTCCGCCAGCGGAGTACCCACAAGCCTACCCCAAGGCGCACTTGGAGGTGCCTCAGAGGCAGGAGTCTTCGATTCCCTATCAGTACAACTATCCCAAACCTGTGCCGGAGAAGGAACCGGAGCGAAAGAGACCAGCAGCTGAGGGGTATCCTTATGAAATGGTGCCGCCCAAGAAGAGCCCAAAGCTAGAGACTCCCATTCAGCAGAAGGTGAGTAATATTCAATAATACCTTATCCCTTTAGAAATGCAAGACAACTCTAAAATAGTGTTAGATTTTGAAAATTGAAGATTTGGCGATTGGAAGTGCCGCTCGTCATAAGCTAAGTAGAGTAGATTCTTATCAATCTCCATTATATTTCTACAGGTGGACGCGTACTTGAACAATGCTGGATACTACAAAAGCCATCACTATCCTCATCCTGGAACTCCGCCACAGCATCCTCCGCATCCGCCGCAACATCCTCCGCATCCGCCGCAACATCCTCCGCATCCGCCGCAACATCCTCCGCATCCGCCACAACATCCTCCACAACATCCTCCGCATCCGTCACAGCATCAATCTGTACCACCGCCGCCCCAACATCCTCAATACCCGCCACAACATGTTCCTCATCATCAACACTCACAGCATCTTCACGCCGCCATACCTCATGTTCTGCCCAATCCGCCTACTCCGCGGCCACAGCCACAGATGCCCTACCAGTACCGGCCAGGAGAGTATCCTTACGCTCCTAAAGAAGTGAAGAATGTCCAGGAGAAGACAGCAGAACCGTCAGCCGCTGTGTATTACCCTCCAACACCGAAAAAGGATGTTCATCCTGTGAGTTACACTTCGGAGTCGCCTGTGAGGTATTCTGTGCAGCAAAGCTACAGAGCAGCTATTCCTTACGAGCACCAGAGGATCGCTGGTCCTTCACCAGCGCCTCAGATCCCTTATGAAGGGGAGTTTAGGGGTCACCCACCGATTTCTGGATACTCAGGAGGGAGTACGAACACAGTGACGGCTAGGCAGTGGTATCCGAGTCTTCCGCCGCAGCAAAATCATCAATACATGCCTCCTGGTCAAGTGTATCATCAGCGACCACCAGATCCTGTGCCTCAGGCGCCTCCACAGCCTGCTCCGGCTAGTAATCTCATCCGAGCGACGTCGGATGAACGCTTAGGAGCGAATAGGGATGTAATATCCAAACTAAAGACGACCATTGAGGGGAAGCAGAAGGTGAGAAAGCAAAATAGTGGTGAATTGGATGAAGAGGAGGCTAGTAAAGCGGACATAGCGTCACTTCTCGCGGCGAGGATTCGCACAAAAGGTGAATTGAAAGGTTTCACGCCTATTCCGGATAAAGATGCCCCAGCTTCTGTGGAAGAAGAACCCGTGGCACCTGTTGCAGGGCCTATTGATCCACCATCAGATTTGGAGGGAACCAGTGCCTTCGATCTCCTAGATTTTGGGAGTGCGTGCAATGATTTCGTTGAGCAGCTGCAAACGGGGAAGAAGAAGATGAAAAGAAGAAGGAGCAGGAAGTCAGAAGTGGGTGATGTGAAGCTCGAGGTGAAGGAGGAGGCTGAAGAAGCGGACGTGACGATTCCTCCAGAGAGTATCGTGCCACAGGAGGCGATTCAGAAGGCAGCTGAAAGCCTGAAACAAAGTCAGAAGGTGGAAAAACCGGCAACGAGTAGTAGCGATGAGGATAAGCCGTTGTTTTTGTTGAGGCAACAGAGTGAGGAGGTGAAGAAGGCCAAGAAGAAGACATCGACGGATGAGGATGAGGATCCGGCTAGCAAGAGAGCGGAGATATTCGAAAGATTGGCGGACAAGATCACGAAGAATATCCGGGAGAAGCAGGAGAAGAGACTGGCGGCTAGATTGAACACTTCTTCGTCTGATGATGAGGAGTCCTCAAAGGGCTCTCAGAGGAAGAGGAAACCCCTGAGGAGGACAAAGACGCGGAGTGTGAAGACATCAGAAGACTCTTCGAATGAGGAGGACAAGAAGAAAGAGGATGATAAGTCAGTGAAGAAGACGAAGAAGCCTCCGGAAAGTAGTAGTGAAGACGATGAGGAGGAAAATGGTAAAAAAGCGAAAGGAAAGAAATCTTCTCGGTCTCCGGCTAAGAGGAAACCGACCAGGAAGTCCAGCTCTTCTGAAGAGGGTTCAGATTCCGGCGAGGAGGGTGACAGTGAGGAAAAGTCCAAGTCAAAAAACTCCTCAGCGGCAAAGTCCACCGACGGCGGTAAGGAGAAGCCTCCTCCCAGCAGGACTAAGACGACACGCCGCTCTCAAGTCGGAACGGAAGACTCCATGTCCATGACGCGCTCCAAGAAGCGGAAAGAGATGGAACAGCGACTGGCCAACAGCAAAGTGCTGAGGAACGATAAGATTGTCCAGAATGTGACGATAGACAAGAAGAAGAAGCCTGCCAAGGCATCGCTGAAAGTGGACGAGGCGAAGAGGAAGATCCTGGACACGGACAGTGAGCCAGATGCCAAAGGGAGTCCCAGCAAGAAGAAGCCACGGAGGGTGTCGAAACTCCAGTCATCCTCGAGTTCTGAATCGTCAGAGTCTGAAAGTGAGGCGGAAACGGTGAGCGAAAGGTGAGTTTCTGAGAGGGTGTGGCAAGGAAGAGTTGATGATATTCTGTTGTTTTCCCAGGCTGAGACCGCGGAAGCCACAACAGAAGGCGGTCATTACAGCGACGCCACCAAAAAACGGGAAGGTCTCGGGAGGTGGGAAAGGTGAATCGTCTCCCGGGAAGAAGAACAACGCCAAGATAACAACCCTTGAAGGGACCACAGATACAGATGCCGGAGACAATAAGGTGGGTTTCTGCATGATTCTCTCTTTATTTGATTAGTTTAATAACTGTTTTGGATTCTTGTTCTTGCGCAGTTTCCTCCTGGATGGGAAATGCAGCTGTACGAGTACAAGCGCTCCCTCAAGATCCCGCCTAGTCTAATCACAATCGCTCGACCATCGTGGCATCGCATTTCCACATCATTACCGGATCTTGATCCGCACTCCAGCGATGCGTCGGAGAGCTACAGAGAGGCGGCAAAGAAGGAGGCGCCACTGGATGAGTCCACAAAGTCTTCAATAATTGATTTGCTTCATCAGAGAGTGACTCAGAAGGGGCGCCAAACGACGCTTAGGAAAACGCCGAAAGCGCCTACTAAAACTCTGGTGAAATCACCGAATTCCAATGGGGCTCAATTGCTGGCCACTCCAGGTGTTGATGATGATGATAGGTCAATTTTTGGGCATGACGGGAAGAACTTGAACACCAATGTGTTGAAATCCAGAACCAGAACGGAATACAGGATCATGAAGAATAAGGAGATCATCAGACAAGTGTTTGGTGGGGAAGATAGACCGGCTTCAGCGCCACCTTTTCGTGGTGGTGTGGATGAAAGTCCGGTGGTGGTGAAGCAGGAACCTAATGAAGATCCACCGAAGGCGGTGACATTCGATCAGAAGTTCCAGGAGTACATCAGACAGATTGACAGGATGGCTATAGAGGAGGGCTTCGTTCGAGACACATCCAATCGAGCGCTGAAGACGGAGAAGGACTTTGGTGAGGATACAGAGACTCAAGACACAGTGCTGGAGAGTCAGAGTGTGAATTCCGAGAGGGATGGACTCACGCCAATCTCCTTCACGAATGTCATCAGGCGACAGGCGAAGAAGGGCTCACGCAGTGTCAGACGCAAGGGCAGTTCTGGCTTTGACTACATCCGAAAGAAGAAGAAACCGCTGACGGAGAGTCAGCAAGCGGCGCTGGCCAAGAAGCGTCTGGCGGCCGTAACGGAGTTCCAGGGAAGAGATGAGCAGGACATCGGGAGGGAAGTCAAGGCGTGGGTGCTGAACAAGGGCGTTGGCGAGAGTGTGCTGCACAAAGCAGCAAGATTGAATTACTTGGACGTGATTGCCTACTGTTTGGACAGGATGGAAATGCATCCGGATCAGAAGGACAATGCAGGGTACACTCCTCTCCATGAGGCCTGCTCGCGAGGGCATCTTGAGATTGCCAGGCTTCTGCTGGAGTATGGAGCGAATCACTCAGAGACAGCGCTGTCGGGCATCCGGCCGTTGCACGATGCCGTGGAGAATGGGTATGTGGAAGTGGCCAGACTGCTGCTGTCTTACGGAGCCGATCCACTGTTGGCCACATATGCTGGGCAGACTCCTCTAGCCCTGGCGGAGGACGACGGAATGGCGCTGTTCCTGAAGAACCATCTTTACGACGTGCAGCACAATGGCCCTGACAAGGGCTCCTGGAAGTTCGCAGGACCCTGGGAGATTTACGGTGAGTACAATTGCTAGATCCGTTGAGATATCTCTTATTTTAAGAGCATTTTCAAGTTATGTCCAAAGCAGTGAAATTGAAACATACATGAAACTTCAATGAAACATTCTCTTTTTGTCTCGCAGATCCTGATGTTTGGGGCTACAGCATCTTCGCGGATGTGCCTGAAGCTGACGCGCCAGAAATTAAGGAGCCAGAGAAGTGTGATTCGAACTCCAATATAATGAAGAAGGCGCCAGAGCCTGTAGAAAACGGACGCGCCAATGGATCCAGTGTGTCTCTTGAGACTGAAGACGGGGAGCTGTTCGACATTGAGGAATCCGAGACGCCCCTGCCGCCGCTGTACCTTCTGCGCGATGAGGGCGCTGAGAAGTGGGTGCTGCTCTCGGATCTGTGCAACATGCTGAAGGTAAAGTCCAGAGACACTCTGCTGAAACAAATCCAGCCTGGCGGCGTTCCGGGGACGCAGAAGGAGCTGATTCGTGAGCTGAAGACTGGGGACTTCCTGCAGAAAGCCACGTGCCTGCAATTGCTGTGCGCTGGCGAGAAACTCAACATCCGATCGTCCAAGGTGGTGCTGATCAAGTACAACGAAAGCGTGCAGGCTCTCCTTGGCGTCCAGACGCTCCTCATGCGTCTGTGATGTGGCTAAAGTGGTGGGATAATCTCAGGGAAGACCCTCCAGAGAGGACTCAGAGCAACGTGTAATCACAAAAAGGCGTGATATTAGATGAGTAGCGGCAAGAGATGGTCCCAAAGGACCCAAAAGTGTGCAGAATCAAAAAGGATTGTAGAGAATTTCACCAAGCAGACCTATTTAAGTGAATAAGGAAAAAAGGCATCATGGAAAGATTTATATATATTTTCTAGGGCAATTAAAAACTAACCTTAGCGTTAAGGAAGTTTGCAATTAAGAATAGATTTATAGTGAAAATTGAGGTGGAAAAACCTCGAAATATATACATTTTTATTAGAACGTAAGATGCGCGCGAAGAATGATTTTACGGATTTACAGAATGTGAATTGTAAAATAGTATTTGTGAGGAGAGAAGTGAGAGTTTGCAATTGATTAGGCTCATTTTAAATCCCCCCTTTTTTATGTACATTTAAGTTGTTACTGTAGTGAAAATTGTAATTGTAAATGTGCAATGACATGTGATTACATTTTAACGCTATTATAGTGAGAGAAATATACAAAATATTGATTAGAAACAGTGCGTTTTTCTTTCGGACAAAAAAATTTATTCATCAAAAATACATTCAGTTTCATGGAACAACATTTGTCATTAGAATTCATTGGAGAAAAACGTTTATGGGAAGCAAAACAAGCAATTTACGTTTAAACACTGAAGATAAATTCTCTGGTAGACATAAATTTGAGGTAAACCTTTGGTTAACATGCCACAAAATACAACATTTCTGAGCTTCTCAAATACTCATTGAAAAATTCAATAAAATTTAAAATTTATGCTTAAAAGTACACTTGTCGTTAGTAAATACTATTTGCGCAGTAAATGCAAGTGCGCTTAAGTGGACACAGACACCAAAAATGATGATGAGGCACCGCCTTTAGAACATCCCTGGACGATCTTGCTCTCTGTTGCCGCTCTTCTCAAAGAACATAATATCCTGGAAGAGAGAAGAAATAAATTGAACATCAAATTACGATAAATGTACACAATCTAGAGAGGAAGCAGTAATAAGTTTGCAACAATGTCTTTCGCAACAAGAAGAAAGAAGCTACTCACAATGAGGAAGCAGGCACCAATGAGGACGGCCTTCATGCGCACATCGAGATCCATGGGGAAGTTGATGCCAAAGTGGTCGGCATCGGTGAACATCTCACGCGCCAGGCCTGACCATTGCTTACTGATCTTGCCCACAACTTGACCATCGCGCGTCAACACCTTGAACTCCACATCGCCACAGATGCTGAACGTGCAGAATGGCCCCTCAATTCGCAACACCGTCTCGCCAGATTGATCCTTCAGGCTGAACTGTGGCGTGAAGATGCTCCACTCCTGCTCAATGGTGCCAATCACATTTCCGGGCGGCGCTGAGATCTCCATCGTCTGCAGACAGCATGGGAAGCAGCACGATTGGCAGCGCAGCGGCCGATAGAGATGCAGCACCTGATTCTTGTAGATGTCGAGGATCTTCATGTCAAAGGGCCGCATCGGGCCACAGCAGTTGCGCGTGCAGCAATCGGTGTCCTCCGCCGCCCAGTACACCTTCTGGCCCATGCTATTCTTGATCGTGAACTTGTTGTTCGTCTCGAAGCCCGTGAACGCCTCCAACAGCTCCACCTTCTGATGCACCAGCAGCTGATCAATTTGTGTAAGGTACTCCAACCCAGGGGGGCAATTGGGGGCTCTGGGCGGCAAACTCATCCAGCCATCTGTCGAAAGACAAGAACATAGTCAATTTCGTCAGTTTCTAAGAAACCCGCTCAGAAAACGATGTCAAAAATATAGGTAATAAATATTTGATAATCACGAGCTTTCACTCGTTGTGGCTATTTTAAAAATCCCAAAATAAACACTTCTCTCAGTGCATCTTTGTCTGTGACACAATCGCCCACGCGCCCGGCGTTCGTGCTTAAGGTATAAAAGATCATCCGCTTAGTGTCTCTGCAACAGTTGATCTTCAGACGAGTTTGCAGTAATGAAGTTGATCGTGATCTTCACAATTTTCTTGGCCTTGAGCCTCACATTGGCAGTTCCTCGACCAGGTAAATCCCATTTCACTCTCCTTACAATCCCTAAAGTATCTTCAACAATTCTATTTCACATTCAGACAGTGTGGAAGAAACATCTGAGGCCACAAATGCAAACATTAAGTTGGAGTATCTCGGTAAATTTCCATTAAATATGCGAAATAGATTATTTCGCTAATTTTCTTTATTATATTATAGAAAAACTTGTTGGGAAGCAACTCAATATTAACCGCGAAGAGGTCCATAAGTTTATAAAACTCCTCACAGAATTACAGAAGCAATCCAACACTGCAATCGATGAAAGTGAACAACTCAAGCATTTCGGTAAGATCAAGATCAAGAATTCACATGTTTTGAACGCTAATAAATTATACAATTTCTGCAGAAAACTTCATTGGACCTCGTCAAGAAGCTCACAAGCTAACAAAGTTGATAATTGGTGTTATGAAAGAATACGCAAATAGGGAAGAAAACGCTAAGAGAACAGACGAAACTGAGATATTTCTGCACTACGGAGAAGTCCTATTGGAAACCTTCTCAGCAATGAGACGCCACTTCAACATTGAAGCAGACATTCTGGCTGGACTCATAAATGTGCTTAAATATCCAGAAGATTCGACATATTCGGAAAAATTTGGATTTATCAAAGAGAAATATGGATTGTAGATATTGTGCCATAAATTCATTTATATCCATGACTATTAAATTCCACTTTATTGATTAATAAAGCCCATATTTGACACCCAATTTTCCAATGATATCGAGAAGATGGCAAAGGTTAAAAAGGTAATTCAATGACAATTTAATAATCGTCAAACTTATCTCTGCATATCCGCGTTCAGCGTTGTACAATTTCGCATTATCTGACATTGAAGATAACTTCTTGTTGGCTCTTGCTGACGAGAAGAAAATTCATCGGAATCAAAAAAAAAGAAATTTTATTCATGAAAAGTAACGGAAGGAATACAAACTCATAATAGTCCAGGGTAAGAAAAGATATGTAGGTAATAGAAATGAAGTTCATCAGCTATTTCTTAGTCAGAACAAAACGCACGATTTCCATGTCATTCCTCTGCACATTAAGATTGACTTTCTCGTACTTGGCAGCCACGTTCTTTACCCACGTATTGTTGTATATGCCCGGCATCACGTAAAACTCCCTCCTTTTGGCCTTGTCGCACAGGAAAGTCTGCAACATCTGTTCAAAGATTGTCTCAAAGAACTCCTTGTCTTTCTGATATGCCGGAGAATCCTCTTCAACATTCTTAGCTATCTTTTGCTTGAAGATTTTGCACAGGATCTTATCAAAGGACATTGAATCCATAAACACGTCGTAGAATTTGCCGAGCTCATGGAACTCCGTCAAAACCTCCGGAATATTTCCCAAATATGCGTGAGCTCGTTTGAGACACTCTGTGGCATCCGCGAATTTTCTATCTAGACGCAGAGATCGGCAAGCATGAAGGAAGATTTTTCCTTTCAGTCTATCTTCAGCATTTACACCACCGTCGATCATTTCCACAGCATAGACCAGAAATTCACTGGCAATCTTGTGCTGTCCAAACTTGTTGAATGCCATACCGCAGTTGAGGCTCATTTTCATGATCAGCTGCAGTCGTTTGTCATTCTCCGCTTCATTCTGGATCATGACATTCATCAGCAGAAGCATTGCACTTGTGTAGTCAAAAGCAGCGCAACGATAGAATCCGGAGGAAAAGGCTGCTTTTGCCTTATTGCGAAGCTCATGGACAGCATTCAGTGTGAGATTGAAGCTAGTTGCAATGCGACTCTTCTCCGCTTTCGTAACATCTGTGGCCACTCTGATGATCTCAATCTCCACGAATGAATCCTTGAGACTATTGGGATTTGCAGCGTTCGCTCCATCAGCGAACAGACGAGGAATTATAAACTGTGCCTTCTCCTGGTTGCGCATCGTGCGCACTGCCTTCTCAAAACCTGGCAAGATGCGACTTTCTTTGCCCAACACGAAGACGAACGGCTCTTGGGCAAGGTATGTGGAATCAATTGATCCAATGATTCCTTCATCACCATCTACGAAAATTGAGTAATACAGCGAAACACGCTTGTTGTCCTGCAGAATTTCTCCAAAGCCTTCAGAAAGTGTCTTCTTGAGAATCCCATTTCCCAAGTTCTCCATCCCTTGGCGCATGCCACCGAAATCCCTTATTCCCATGTGTTGTTGGCGCAGTTTATGAGCGAAAAACCATGTCGCTTGTTTAGGCTTCCAAACACGCGATATCATTCTGTCGAAGCTATCCCGAACAAGAGGTTTCCCGATCGTTTCTCTGCAAAAAAAGCAAACAGCAAATGTATTAAGTATTCCCATCATCATGTATTGATTTCAATAGATTCACTTACGGAATAGAGCTGAAATATTTCATGATCTCAATAAAACACTCCAATTCCTGGATGAAATCCATTTTCAATCAAGAACACAGAAAATTTCGCACAATCTTACAAATGGAGGCCGCGTCTCTGCTTGCACCGTTTGCACTAACCTTTGATGTGCGTTGAAGTTTCCAATATAGGCAACATTTTAGACCAAAATTTCAAAAGGATGGATTTCGAATAAGATTTTCGGTTTTTTTCACTTTCACTTACGCGGCTCACGCGCTTTTCCAATTAGGGTCAATAAGAAAAGTTTTATTTCACGACACAATACTACTTCGGCACAATTTGTTAAGGATTTTGAGCATCCCATATAAATACATAGTGACAAAGTCCGTGGACAAATCCAACAAATTACGGTAGAATACTGAGGGAATAACTAAAATTTACTATTATTTTTAAGACAAAATACTGTAAATCGAGGTTTTACTGTTCCACCAACTCAGCTCCCAGTCAATTTCATTGTCCGAACAAGTGATAAGACCTCAATTGATTCAATTAAGATCAAAAACCCTCACATTTGTGTCCCTTGAACCCAAACGATCGCCTGAAAGCAAACATTTTTCACTCAACAGCCCCTCAATCTCCTCATGACATCGCTTTATGTTCGCCCCACAAGATGAATCTGCAAATATTGGCCGAGTCCATGAGACTCTGATAACAAGTGGAATTGTACTGATAACAGACGACCGCACACCTCTTCTCCTCGTCCGTAAGCAGCACGTCGTAGCCCTTCTTCTTGGGCGCCTTTCGCAGATGCAGAATTCTTCTTAAGGCCTTCAGGGCACTCCGCACATCCTTCACGCCCAATTTGCCCACTTTCCTGTCCACAAATTCCACCACTTGGCGCAATTGCCTCAACTTCCCGCGAGGCCTATTATTGTCCACTTGCGGTTTGTTTAGATTAACAACACTACCCAAATTGCCCTGCACTGTCATGATGTGTTGTAACTGAGATCTTCACTGTCCAAAGTCTCGCCACCCACTAAACTCACTGTGATAAAACTGTCTCTCGTCCAGTCTTTTATATCAATCCCCACACATCGCGCTATCAACTCGAAGAGGCTTCGTCGCAGCCTTATCGTCTTTGATCTGCTGATAATGGTTTTGAGGAAAATTGAGGAAGCATAACAACTAATCACTGGATTTCTTGCGACTAATTCTCTCGCCAAAACTTCCCACTTTGCAGAAAAAAAACACACATACAATCTTATCAAGCATTTCACAACTGCACAATTCAAAAATTAATACTTCTTATCAGTCAGCAAAACGCCCAATAAATTACCTCTCAACATGAGATAGAAGAGTGTCACTAAATTTTGCGTGATACTCGTGATACTTGTTAAAAGGTGAAAACAGTCTTATCTAAACTGTGTATATAACATGTATATAAATCCAAAGTTGCTCTATTTATGATTATCACACATATGTGGTCATGTTTCAAACAATTGTCTCTCAGTATAACAATTGTAGTGAAGATGAAACTGTTACTCTTAGAGAAAAAGCTTTCAGGCAACCAAGATCAAAGTTCTAATTCAGTGAATGTTTGGGTGTGAGCACAAGTGGGCACTGATCTTGCGCGAATCTTAACTTAAGTTGTGATTAAGTTTTGTACAAAAACTTCTTGTGATCATAAGTAGATTTCCGTAGAAAATCTTAGTTTGAAGCCCTTCAAAAAAAGAGCTCTTATAGAGGAAATCTAGTAATCTTCGAGACATTTATCTTCAAATTCTACAGAACTATTGAAGAAAAAAAGAAACGAATCATCAGCAACGCCCAAGATAAGAGTCTCTTAACAGGCTGCAATTCGCATTCAATGTGTACACCGCACTGACTAATTTTCTCTCCCTTGGAGAAGCTCTTGACATTGCTTTGGGATGTTCCTGATAAACATTTCAAGCATCTCATGCCTCTTTTACACTTCACCCACGCGATATACCACAAAATCTTCCTCACTCACCTTGTCCGGGAGGAAAGTTGGGCGCTTGCGGATGGGGCTGCCCATAGGGCGGAGCCTGTCCTGGGAAGCCCGGTTGAGGAGCTCCTGGGCCTCCATAAGCGCCCGGCTGCTGCACAATGGGTCCTTGAGGGGCGTATCCCATGTTTGGCGGATATGCTGGCGGATAATTTTGTCCTCCTCCGAAGCCAGGCGCTCCGTAACTGTCCGGATGGCCCGGGAAACCCTGCCGATATAGTCCAAATATGAGTATATCACACGTCAATTGCAGATAAGACTCTTATCGCCACCAATAGAGATTTTTCAGGGGATTTTGTTTCGCAATTCAACGCCACTTGCGACATCAATTCGTTGGAAATGTGACGACTCTGACGATAAATATGATTCATGGCCAGGGAGTGTGATACTTACCGGTTGCTGTGGCGGAGGATACCCAGGATGTCCGCCAGGATGTCCACCAGGATGTCCGCCAGGATTGAAGCCTGGACCTGGTGGTTGGCCGTAGGGATTCATTTCTGGGATTTGTTCTTTTCAAGGATGGAAAGTCTGTAGGCGATTGTATGAAAAGTTAGAGTTGAAATTTAGTTCCTAAAAAAGTCAGATTTTTTACCTCTATATGGTTAGTTTCCGGGTTTTTTGCACTTGCCCCACTTTCTGAGTATCAGGAGAGTTTTTTTGTGCGGAAATCCAGGGGATTTCTTGAATATTTACACGGGAAATATGGGGGAAATACACTTTTGCAAAGATAAAAACAATGAGACTTTGACAGCGCTCAACCAACCCATCTGCAGATGCTGCATCTTCATGGGATGCTATAAAGCATATGCTTTTTGTTACTTTTCCCGAGAAAACCGCTATTATTATGATTGATATTGCCTGAGAATAGCACTTCTGACATATTTAATATTACTAAACTTATGTAATGTTCATAAATGTTTTCTTTAAATGAAATACACAAAGGTCTAAAAGATGAGTATAAATTTGAATAGTTTTGTTTCGTTGCAGTTGGCAATCATGGAGAGGTGACAGTTGGCGGCTCTTAAATCGTGCGGCCGGTTATTTTGTTTGTTTCCCTCATAAATCTTCCCAAATCTCCGCAATTTCTGTCTTATCACGCCCAAAATTACCATCTTCTTCTCCCCAACATCACAATCTATTGAGAAGTAAGTAGAATTCATCAGTATTGAAGGTCAAAACATTGCCTCTTTGGTTACATCACGAAGTTTGGCTTTCTCGTCACCTCAGACAGATCTGGCGACTCAAAATGAACTATCTGGGCTATGAGGAGGACGACTTGCCGCGCCCCGTGGCCCCCAGTGTGCCCAGGGAGGAAATTCTCGTGCCTTCATTCGACGTTCCGGACGTCTCGATCGTTGTGGAGAAAGCGTCTGCAAGGCGACAGAAATCATCTTACCAAGAATGGCAGAAGAACGCGAATCTCGTGTTTCTGGAGGGAACATCTGGAGGAAGTTGTCCGAGAAGAACTCCTGAAGTGCCTGCACTACCTCTGGAAACTAGTCAACCAATTATAGAGAAAAGGAGTCCTATGGAGAGACCTAAAATTGAACCCACAAGTGTTGCCAGAGTTTCTGGACAAGACGAAGTGATCAGAAAGCTGGAGACCCTTCTCGCTAGTTATAGTATGACACTGGAGGAACAGATAGATCGCTTGTCGGTCCCGAAAGAGCCAGCAAAACCTTCAACAGCTGATAAGGGTGTGTCTGCGGCGCCTAGACAGAAAAGTATTGGGATCCAGTGCGATTTGCTACGTCCGGAAGTCGTGCCAGATACAAAATCCTGCTCATCACAGACTGATCCTCAGTTGGAGGTGTTTGACAATCGCCGGGCGTCGGATTCTTGTCTTCAGGGAGGATTGTTTGCCAGGAATCCGGGCCAAAGTGACGCTTGGAGCACTGAAATGAGTTTAGCCACGCATCAGTACATGGAGAAGTACAATCTCTTGGGTGAATCGCGTAGTCCGGGCACCCGGAACGTACTGGAGGGCATCAAGGGGCCGCGGTGGCAGCAGAAATTCCATTAACTAAAGAAAAAAGCACGTTTCTGCGAAAAGAATGATCAACGAGTCTTAAGATATTAACAGAGTGTCTTGTTGTCTTGCAGAATGATTCTGATGGCTTTTGGTAATCCCATCCTGGACATGAGTATTACGGCGGAGGACGAAGAGGTGTTGAAGAGCCACGGTTTGAAAGTGAATGATCAACTGGAGATCCCGATTGAGAGACTCTTGGCGGTGAAGAAGGATGCTGAGCAAAGGTCTGTTTTCCTATCAGTTTTCCCACTCTGGAAAGCCATTAACACCGTTAATGGTTGCTTGAGCCTCTGTTATGTTAATCCTTTTTCGCGGTGTGTGATTGATTGCTTTCTCAAATCCTTTCACAGGTATGCAAAAACCGTTCAATTCAATCCTGGAGGTTCATCTCTCAATACGTGTCGTATTTTGAGAGCTCTCGGTGAAAAAAATGTCCTATATTGCGGCTCTATTGGGAAGGATGAGAATGGAGAAAAGTTGCTTCAGTTGATTGGAGAGAGTGGAGTGAATTGCTGCATCCAAAGTCTCGAGGGCAGTTCAACTGCTGTCTGTCTGTGTCTCATTCGCGGACAGAATCGCTGCCTGATTGCCAATATTGGAGCTGCATTTAAGATTGAACTATCCTGGCTGACGGAGAAGATAAATCCCACCGAAATGATATACATCGAAGGATACTTTATCCCTGAGAGGCTTTCCATATGTCAATGGCTCGTGGAGAAGGCAGGAAAGTTGGCAATCAATCTCAGCGCCAAATACATCGTCAGGAGTCTCTGGAAGGAGTTGAGATTCCTTCTCAATGCTTGTGATCTTATTTTTGGGAATGCCAGTGAATTTTCCACCGTCGTTGAAGTTTCAGGAAGTAATACTTTAGATTCCTGGGTGGATTCTCTCGCCAAAGATGGGAAGAAGGATAGAATTATAGTGATTACAAATGGAGGATCGCCAGTGACGCTCATGGAAGTCATTAAAGGAGTGACAAAGAGACAAGAAATCCCGGTGGCGAGAGTGGAAAATGTTCTGGACACGACAGGAGCTGGGGATGCCTTTGTGGCGGGCTTTCTCTTTGCGTTCTTGCACTCCAAGAGTTCGCGAGAATGCGTTGAAGAAGGAATTCGCATTGCCGGTGAGACGCTTAGTCAAATTGGATGCCATTTGCCAGAAGTTAAAGTTAATTAAACATGAATTTAATGATATTAAAAGGGTTTTTCTTATTATATACACGACTTTATTGAGTTTTCATTTATTTACAAGAATGTTTGATGTTCAAACGCTCCTCATTCTTTGATTACCAGTGTTGAAATGTGGTCTGGGTGGATCTTTGCTTTTGACAAATGGTCGGTTTATTGGTTTATTCGGACATCCTTTGGCACACATTCATTCAATTCATCTTTGCCTCCTCATACTGACAAAAATCCTTCATTTGCCCATCGCATGAAGACAGAATGAAGGGTTTTTATTGCTTTTAAATTTTTAACAAATTTATCGAAACAACTACAATCCTTCTCAATTCCTTCTCGCATGATTTGTTGGTGAGAAAATTGCTGCTGGAAAGAGACTATCATTGCCATATAAGTATTAATGACAATCCTTTCATGGGAATTTTCCACGTGAAAAATTATTTTTCAAACATTTAATGATTTTCCTGAGAAGTTGCAACACTTTTACAACTCAGTCGACAAATGATGCACTTTGTCGACAAAGTTTTGTGTCATTTCTTCTCTAGTTCTTTAAAAATCCCACAGTTTCTATAAAGCTTTAACCTCAATACGTATTTTTTGTGTCTTAACAGTTTTTTGAGCTTCTCTTTTTTCCATTTATTTGATGCTTTTGTTCAACGATCTTCTCAATAACAGAATGAATACATTTTTGCCACTTTTGATTGTTATTTACATACCCTTAGTTGAAACACTTATATAAAATCTCTCAGTGTGGATTTTGATGATTTTTCTCATGAGCTATCTTTAACATTATACCCCATTTTTGATGCGACTTACAATACTAAAATGTATTCTATTGAATGGTTTTACACTTTGATTTTACACTTAAAATGTGTTACTTCTAAACTCCATCTTTTCTCAGCATTCCTCACAAAACAATTTGATTCTCAATGGCCCTAAATTTTAGCTCTACACTTTCACTATGTTATTTATACTTAAGTTTCACAATATCATTAAGTACATTAGTAACTTATTCAGTAGTGTTTTTCTCTATCATTTAATTTTTGTTTTATTTTCTTCCTTTATAAATTATTATTGACTAACTATCCTTAAGTCTAGTGTTGATTATTTTGTATTATATAAATTTTCATTATTTCCAGTGAATATTTCTTCATTAGTATCCCATTAGTAGTTCATTTTAACATTGTTTTTTCAACTATATTTACATTTATTTATCGTCTAATTATAACCTCTTTTTTGTAAGGATTCGTTTTCTTTACAAGTGTGATCCTTATGTAATTTCCTCTTGTCAATTAGTAAATTCCTCTTGTGCCAAGATGCATCGAATGCATAACTAAACATTTTGAAATGAACCACAGACTGTCTCGTGAGAAGTGAGCGATGCCCTTCCCACGCGAATGCCCCGCCCATTTTCCTTCCTCCAAGACAGTTTGTGCTGCTAATAACTTAAAATTTATCCCCTCGTATTCCATCATTTTATCCTTTACTTTCGTCTGTTCTTTTTTTTAATATAAAAATCATTTTTCGCCCGTCTCATGAGCTCACCATATACTCTGGTTCTTTGTTTTCCGCTCCATCAACGGGAATTGCGGCCAAAAGGGCGGGAGAAGCTATTTATTAAGTCCAGATGCAGATTCGGGATGAAGGCCAGTGTGTGTTGAGTTGTGGTGAAAATTCAGTAAATCACGATGATTAATGAGGGATAGAAAAGTATTGTGTGTAGTTCTTTTCCTTGTCCGGACAAACGCGCAGCGAAAAAAGCATCGCAAGTGTGTTGGAAGAGACATACACTTTGAAATATTCAATTTCCCGTCATGGCAGGAAGTGCAGGGCGACCAAAGGAACTTCCGTCGCATCGGGAAAATATGCTGAATGTTTTGTGGTGCTGAGGGTAAAAAGACTTAAAAATTCAAATGCGCGCAAGAGAGCGTGAAGAAGAAATGTAAGATGTGCAAAAAGTCCAGAGTGAAAAGGATTCTCTCCCAACCCGCAAACTTCAGTAAATCACAGAGTTTTTCCACAATTCTTTGACAAAAACAGATTGAATTTCCCCTCTTGCTTTTCACCGCGCTCATGGGAAAATGGTATCTAATCTTATTCTGTGGCTCTCTATTTGATTGTTTTCTTCATTCACTCTGAAGACTTCTTGATACACACTCTTTTTTGCTTGGGAAGCGGGATGGGGGAATTTTGAATCTCACCATTTTGGCCGAAATTCACGCATTTAGAACTTTCCTGGGCGATAGTAGGAGTTCCTGTGGGCGCCAAACAGGATCCGCTTGAAGGCTTGTCGGAACTCAGGGCTGAAGATGGTGTAGATGACGGGATTGAGGGTGGAGTTAAAGTATCCAAGCCAGAGGAAGAACGCCGCCACGGAGTCGTTGATATGGCAAGATTCGCAGAGGGGCAGGAGCAGAGCCATGAGGAAGAAGGGTAGCCAACACACCACGAACGCTCCCGTGATGATGGCCAATGTCTTGGCCGCCTTCCGCTCTCGCTTCGCCTCCAGGGTTTCCTTGCGCTTCGACACCTGAGCATGAGGATTCATGGTGGACGCCGAGGCGCTGTGCTGGATGGGCGTGGAGACTTGACTAGGTGCCTGGTTAGGCTGCAGAGTGGGTGTCGACAGCTGGCTGGCCACAGAGGACGGCGTAATGGTGGCCGTTGTGGGAGCGGGAGCGCTTGGAGTATCAGTCGGAGCAGTCACAGTCACTTGGTGACTCTGTCCGTTCTCACCCTGATTCCCGATGAAGTGGGACACCGTTGTGATTTGGTTGGCCGCCGACGTGGCGGGGCCCTAGTGAGAAACGATTGAAGAATATCTCAGTACTAAAGCAAATTAGAATTCAAAAATGTAAAACTTAGTTGAATAATCATATGTATGAGATTTTAACTTATTGAATAGTGCAGCTGTCCAGCATTTCAGGATTATTGCAATAATTCTAAATAACGGTGGATGTGATTAAGGATGTTTGTCACCCAAATTCAGGCACCATTTTCCTTGATTTTCAAATAGTTGTTATGTTTAGTATTGCTATATCCTTTTCAAACTGTAGAGCAGACAATAGTTTGCTTCCAAATTGAAGGAGAATCCCACTCGATTCGTCGTGTAATTAGATTATACTACCTCGTCCGAATTGTTGAATGACGTAACTTCGATGCCCTTCTTCTCGTTACTGCTGTACTCAGTGTCCTCCACTGTGTTGACCGTGTTGGTGGAGTTTCCCTCCACAAGTCCCAGAGTCGATCTTCCCTGTGTCGTGAATCTGGCCAGGCGAAAGGGCATCCGCGATTTCGTTTTCGCCTCAACAGCCTGCAAAGCAACGCAGAGAGATAACCCTTGAGCTCGATTATATTAAGAGCTTTAAAGGAGTGAATGGAAAGGGGCGGAAGGACGCTTTATTGGATAACATAAAACAATTTAGTGTCACACGATATTGCTGTCTTCGCAGTGAAATTGCGCAAAATGGCTCCATCGCTTCCCATTACTGTAATTTGTTTCGGTTTTTATCAAGACCATTGATTTTCTATTTTATTATTCGCTGCACTGGCCGTTGAAGTTTGAATTTTGAGAGGGAGGGCAAAAGAACTGTTGAGCTCCATGCGACATTACCCTGTGGGGTCGTTCAATTGAATTTAAAGTTTTGTGTATCTACACAATTAGTGTCTTCAGAACAAGATTCAGAATGACTGGGGGTGAGCGAGACATGTTGCTTCGACAATTGAGCGATAAGGAGTCTCTCTCAAGGTCTCTCCAGATGGCAAAGTTGAAGGTTCGCTATGGAAAATGCTAGCAATTGTTGTACCACAGCACAGCCACCACCCCTCGAGGCTGGTATATGCAAAGTAGGGGATGCATCTAATCACATTTTCCAGCAAACTCTCACTGGCTTTTGTGTGGCCCTTTTTCGGGGTCATGCATTTCTTCCACAGCATTCATAGTGGAAATTTTTCAATTTGCAAAATGGTGCCAACTTTTAATGATTCTGTGAACTCCATTTCAACTTCTGAATCCCTTTTTTTTTTTGAAAAGGGGTTGAAGAGAGAAGAGCTCGCCTGAGGTGATGATGGACACTTCTGCGGTTATTCTCTCGTGAAAATGCATCACATGCATCAGGATGGAAAAGCATACCCATTGTTGGGCTCCATTTAAGGTGAGCTCCACACACCTTGAGAGGTTGCCACACTCTATTGGAATATGATTAAAAAGTTCACATTCAAAACACTCCATCAATGCTTGAGAAAGGGTGATTGAGGGGATCTCTTCGAGCACAATAAATATGATAATTTTCGCATGAAGGAATCTCACTCTCATGGTGAAGAATAGGAACTACATAAATCATCGCTCAGGTTCTCACACAATAGCCAAAGTGATTTCTCATGGAGAATGTAATAAATTCTGGCAGGTGACGGATTTTTTTCCGGCTATTATCAATACCCAATTTTGTTATTCAAGACTTTAAAAGCACCATCTTATTGTTTTTCTTTGGGTTTTCCTATTTAAATTGAGCTAAATTTCACATGTCTTGGTTGAGGAATTTCGTGCTATGGAAAATTATATGTTTTAATTATTATAATTCACATGATTTGACCTCAAGGCACAGCACACAGTTGAAGAATTACCATTTTCATGTCGTGTTTCATGGGAAAAGAGTTTGTGTGGATGATGACGCTGTAGCTTCAGGTGATTTTAAATGAAAATTCCTTGTTCTATTGTGCCATCAGGAGTTCTATTTTTCCGCCAGTATCTCTCTCTCTCTCTTTCTTTCTCTCTCTCTCTTTGAGGGCATGTCAAATATGTTCTCTTTGCGTGGGAGGGTAATTGAAAAGGACTTTAATGAAGGTGCATTTTTATGTATGTATGTCCGGTGCGTAAAGATCTTTTACAGCCACCGCGAGAGTCCTGACCATTTATTAAATTGAATTTGCCAACATGTCAATCAATACCCGATGAATTTCATGACTCACCTGATTGTTATTTCCCGCCACTGGTGGTCTGGGCCTTCGACGGTGAATTCGCTTCCGGGCCGTCTGATATATTTTCCAATACAGCACTAAAATAACTAATAGAGGAACGTAGAATGTGCAGCATGTTGCAAAAACCTACAAAAAGAGACTCGCATTTAATTGAAAAATTCCCACTCTTGACAGTAACTTCCTGAAATTATACCTGATAGGCCACATCTTGCGAAACCATGCACTTTTGCTGCTCTATCCGCTGCATATACTCGGGATCCTTCCATCCGAATTGCGGCGCCAGGGACACAATAACAGCCGCGAACCACACCAAGAAGATCATCGTGAAGACCCTTTTGGCAGTTCGTGAGTGCATGTAGTCCACATTAGTGACGGCCCAGTACCTGAAGGAGAGTTTTCCAAGAACTAATTAATTTTGCCAGAAGTTTAAAACTTTTCATTACATTACATGAAGCTTTCTAGCTGCATGAGCTTTCTGACCTATATATATTTATTGGGAACGCAGTGAAATTGAGTTGAAGCCACTAAAAGGATAACCACTGAATATATTTACTTGCAGTTATGAAAATTCACTCGAAACATTCCCGTAACAATTACCTTATAGAAAAGTTGATTAATTTAAGATCATGCAATTTTTAAAGTTTTTATTGATATAAATTTATTTTCTATTTTTCGAAACGCTGTCCTCTCTACCAGTGAAATATTGTTTTTAAAAACTTTTTCCGCCTTGTGTAATCACATCTTTTGTGTGTGAAAAAAGACCTTCCCAATCTATTGTCGTCAAGTTGAAGTGCTTCATTCATCGGCAACCTAATGAGAAACATTCGCGTTAACACGGCTAATCTTTGGCACTTCTCCGCCTCTTCCTGGCCACTCTTGGCGGGCTTTCCTCAAATTTTTCCGTGGCGGCAATTTTGGGTGGCGAAAATGTAAATAATTACAGCGTGCTGGAGCTGAGAAAATGCTAATCCAGCGCCCGGGGTGGGGAAATTTATTGACTCACATGGGGTCTGTGTGATGCTGCCAAGGTGGCGGGCGTAATAATATTTCATCCCCCGCCAACTGACTTTACAGTGGGGAGAGGTGCAGCCGATGTAATCTTGTTCGGGGGCATTGTTGCAAAGGGCAAGACAATGCGAATCCGTGTTTTTCCTCCGAAGAAGTGGATTATAAGAAAAGTAACAAGTCACGTTCGATGTTGGAACATTTCTTCCGTTCTGCCCCCCCGCCGGCCCGAGCTCCCCCACATCCTCTCAAATTATTATTTTTATATGAGAAAATGCCTCTCGCACATTCTTTTCCATGGCGAAACCTCTCCTCATCTTTCTTGTGGCCGCCTTGGGTCGCTTTTTGCCCTGCGACGATGGATAATGGGGGCTCGGGTGCCGGGGATAGAACAAGTTAAAAATGCCACGTTTATGTTATAATAAAATACACCTAACTATAATGGGAAATATGCTAGGAAACTTTGCAATTTATATCTTTCACAAATGTATCATGGAGATTTTTCTCCAGTCTCGGCCGTAAACCTTTTTTTCTGTCCTCACCGCCCCTCGCCAGGCCCCTCGAGGCTTCACGCAAAGAATTTTGTAATTTTTCCTCCACTTCTCTCGTGTTTTGTTTCCTGAGGAAAGTCATCTTGGGTTTATCTCTGCGTCACTCAATGACTGGTTCTATTCAGTTGACGAAACACTTTGTGTTTTCTAAATTGTTTGTCACTCTGACTAGGAACTGGCAATTAAATTCACTGTGGCAAGTTTTTGTCTACTTTTCAATATCTATGGGGAAAAACTTCTCACGCGACTATGAAGCACTTCTGCAGGTACAATTTTCCATTTGGCGTCACTTTGCGGTAAATGAAATATTCTGCAGATTCTGGTGAAGTCAATGTGATTGTGTGAATGCAGAACACTACATAATGCCATTATGGTAGAAAAAGTTTCTCTCTCGGTTGTATTAAAATATTATTTTTATCTTCTGCAATGGGGAAGACACAAAGAATATACATTGAATGTGCGGACACTCTTTTAGTGAGTTGTTATGTGAGTAGATAAAAAAAACTGAATTGATTGAATTGAGTAGGTTTGCAATAATTTAAAAATTCAATGATGTTACGTGGAAAGATGTGAGGAAATAGAGATTCAATATTAAGTATACGTAGTTTGACGTATTTAAATCATTTTTCAACATATTTGAAAACATTTAATATACCAATAACAATAACAATTCTGAGCCAACTTTAGTGGAAATACCCAAAAAATACGTAAGCAGAAAAGAAAAATGTTTATATACTTTATGAAATTGCTCGGAAGTTTTCTACAGAAAACAATTGAAAAACATTTTGTTAATTATTTGAGCAATTAGAGTAAAATACGATTTTCAGTCTATAAATTTACCACCCGTGTCTAGCATTAACTCTGTGACTTTGAGTGCGAGGGTGAGAGTCTGTGAGCCAAGTGACCATCCAAGTGGAAATGCGCGCGGAAAATGTTGTGGAAAATTGTGGGTGATGTTGTCTATGAATATAATTCCGTTGCAATCCATATGTGACAGCGTAAAACCCCATTGAGTGTGAATCGGGACACAAATCTCCATTAGTGCATCTCAGTTTTCAGTGTATCTGAATATTTAGCTTTGCTTTCACACTCGGCTTGACGAATTATTGCTTCTCCTCTTTGCCCCAAAAAGCTATTCAAGTCATAAACAAATAATTGTCTCCGTCGTGCCACGTGACCTCGCGGCCTTTATCGCGGTGTGGAGGAAAATTAATGTGGGGGCGCCAGAAGAGGAACGACTGCTCATTAATTGAAATTTTAATTATTCCCCGTGGGACTCTTGTCATTTGAGGCGACCTTCCTTGCTCCTGTTTATTCTTCTGTTGGCTTCTTTGCCCATCATCGTAAATGTCTTGGGAGCAATTTGCCTTGTGGTGAGCATTAAGTTAAAATGTTCGATAATGGGGAAGTAATTGAGAAATAATTGGTTGGATTATCAGTGGCGTGGCGAGGTCTCGCTTAAAAATCCATAAACATCAGCCTTGATTTTCGGGTAATTGGTTAGCATTGAGATTTCAATGCTCCTTTCCTCCAAATCTTATCACGTGATTCCTTAGCTTTTGGGGGTGAAAAATATGTTTACCCAAAATGCCAAAGCCATTAAAGACTCAATTATTCAGGCAAGGGTGGGGGACAGATACACGATTAGCTGGCTGCTTATTGGGAAAGAAAGAGATTTGTACCCAAAAACTTGGCTCTTACCTGTCCGTGGCGATGGCGACGAGGTGTAATATCGAGGCCGTGCAGCACAAAACATCGCACGAGGTCCAAATATCACAAAGCTCAGGCCCGAGAATCCATCCTTGGCTAATCTGTTCAATCGACAGCAATTAAACAATTAGGGTAGAGCTTCAACGGGCCTTGATGGGAATTAAAAATCACATCGCTCTGTTTTTCTGACTTCACAACCCTTTTTGAAGGAGGGGCGCAAAAAAGGGCAAAAAGGCGCCAATTAAATGCGTACTCTTCTAATTATACCAGAATTATCGTGTTTGCCGCTTGGCAAGACCACACCTAATTTATTGACTTGCAAGCTTTTGAAAACCTTTGTGAAAGCTTTCTGTTAAAAAAAAATCCATCAAATAATTCACGAAAGAGTGAGCTTTAGTTTGAAATGTATTTCGGTTTGTTGATTTCAGTGAAAAGGAGTTTTGTAGGTGAAAATTATTCATGCAAATTAATTGTTATTTATTGTATTTGATTATTTATGGATAGCGCAGATTTTTTCCGGAAATTTATCAAATTATTATAAATTATGCTTTTAGTCACTGGCGATGCGGAAAGTATACACTCAATAAATTCAATTCATAATTTAGTTATATCTCAATTTCAGCGATCTTCCTGTCATTTGTCTGCAAATTCGCGATGTGTTGTTCGGTAAAAAAAAGGGCGGTCTCACCTCATAAACCGCCCCCAGTGGCATGACGAGACACGCCACAAATAAATCAGCAACGGCCAGAGATGCGACCAGGTAGTTGGCGACATTTTGCAGATTTCTCTCCAGGATAATTGCCGCAATTACGAAGACGTTTCCTGTTCAGGAGAAACAAAGAGACACACATTAAGAAATATTACAGCACAAGATTGTCATCATTTCACGGTGCACCTGCCGCCTGATTTCCCTGAACACAGGACACAGAGTTGCGAGTATACAAAAACATAGATTGCGATTGAGTGCAAACTCCAATGAACTAAGGTTTAATTCCAAATTTATATACGAATTAATTACACTTTTTATTACGCGGTGTGAAAGTGAATTTTTAACGCCAATAATGGAGCATAAATTAAAATTTAATTATAGATAAAGCTTAAAATACTATCGTGTTGGTATGACCAAATGTATGGCAATTAATTAAAATGAAAATGGTAAATGTTATTGGAAAACATTTGTTTGTGTTGATATTATAGATTAAAATCGATTAAAAAAAACCAGTTCAACCAATAAACTTACTATATGCGGAAAATGGAAAGTATATATTTTATTTTTTTTGCAAACTTCATGTAATCTTTCAGTGGTTGATTTGTTAAAAATAAAAGCAATATCAATTTAATTGTGACAAAAATGGAAATTTCATGTTCTGGTCGGGACTTTTTATTTTCTATGTATTAAATTTTCCAGAGAATATCTAAGATATGAGTAAAATGCCACTAAATCTTTCAATATTTTTATTACCCATTCTGCCGTAATATTAATTGTGTGGAAATGAAAACAATTTTTTATATTCCTTCAGATTGAAAGTACGACGAACTCACCGATCACCGTGATGAGGATCATCAGTCCGAGGATAATGGACGTCGCGGCCATGACGATGACGTCGCTCACCTCTTCGCTGGGTCTGGTGCCGTTGCCCAGGGCCGTGGCGTTGGCCAGGGAGGCGTTTGCGAGGAGGGCCGACTCGTTAAGGAAGATGGTTGCGTCGGCATTGAGGAGCATGTAGGCACCCGGGTTGCCGTTCTCGATGAACACGTAATCGTAGATGTCGCGCGGGCCGCCGGGAGCCCGGGGCCCGTCGGGCGGGGGCACCGGCAGCACTCGCCCGTCCATAACGACCTAATTGGCGGCAGAGCTTCAGACGCTGCCCGACGCACGGTGGGTTGATCACGGGGGACTCCGACCCCTCATGAGTCCTTCAGGCTCTCATCTGCAAAGGAAGGAAACGAATCTGTGAGTTGGTGTGGACATTTGCCATAATCCAAGAAAATCCGTCTCACGCCCACCAAATTGATGGGCAATTAGTCCTCCCCAGCAATTATTGCAATATCTGACGTGATTCTCGGCCCCCCAAAATAGCACACAACTTTCGGGACAATTTGGCAGTGTTGAAAGCTCGCTGTGTGTGTGGGAGCTTTCAGAGGGTGGGGAGAGACAATATTGTCGTGACGAGATGCTCGTGTGTTGCCATGCCTATTTTTTACGTGGATAAAAATAGGCAAAATTAGAATCTAATTATATTTAATGTGGATTATTCAATGTCGAGCTCAATTTCATATTGAAGTTATGCCTTCCCTGCGTGGGCGCTACACATTCCCCACTCTTCCTGGCGTCTAATGGAACTTTCAGGTCTGCGGGAGCTTTCACTGCTGTCGCGCTTCCGCTGGGAAAATGCCTGGCAATTAATTGAGTGATGAAATTACAGGTTGATTTCATTGGGGGAAACTTAAGAGTTGTTGTTATAAGGAGGGTTTGAAAGAGAATTCTATAATTACGTCAATTTCACATAAAGTATAGTCTCCATATTTTTTTTATAACAATTACCATGGCGGAGAGGTAGAAAAGGCAGTGCAAAATCTCACTTGGCATCATCTCAAGTTTTCAACACAGAAATCACCCTCAGCTAAATCCCGGGTGGAAATGCGTATTTTCCGATGCAATTTGTCACCATTCGGCGGATGGAAAGTTATCTTATTTCTCCTGCGCGCCTCCGGAAAGCTCCCCTGATTTACGCCCCGATGTGGAATCAATGATGTGTGATTGTCACCCAGGCTTTCTTGAAGGCCTGCCATGTAATGAGTTGTTTGCCCAGATGAGAATCTCTTTCGAGGGTGGGAAGAAGAGGAAAAGTTTCCGCCACCACGCCATCCTCACTCGTCAGGCTCCATTCACATGAAATGATCTAATATTTTGTCTTATTTGTGCCTCGCTATTGCCTTCACCATGCCTATTTTTCGCCCATGAATATGATGGAGACAGGCATCTAAATGATGATACTCTGCCTTTCTTTCTTTGTTGCCAACATCATCATTCGGCATATAGGCAAGGGATGGGTTGGCGTGTGTCGGCGGTGAAAGTGAAAAATTTATTGTGAAAGCAAGGCGAGTGCAGCACATTGTGAGTGTTTGCATTTTATCTATATTGTTGCTAAAGAGCGAGTGACTAGATGCCTCTACTGCCAGTCTTGCCAGAAGTACTTTTTCAATTGATTAAGTGTCTCTTGGGAAAACTTTGTGACTTCTTCCGGCCAGGCTCGAAAGCCCCAAGACAGTCCCTCCACCTGGGTGAATCCTTTGCGAAGAAAAATGGATTTCCCTCGACGCAACAATGCGACATCCCCAGGTTCTCAAGTGAAAGTTTAACAAATGCTGGTGAGAAAATATTTTTTCACTCTCCCAGCCCGGAAAATCCTCTCCATCCCATTCAAGTCGGCTCCATTGTCAACAATTCACATGGCAGTTTACAAATAAATTCACTCACACGCGTGTGGAAAGGGTTTTAGGACGGGCGTGGTGTTTTCTTTGCCTCATCCGGAATGAGAGGCGCGCTGATGTTCTCATTATTTATTCAACGACAAGGACTGGGTGACAATAGCGCGAAAATTATATTTTGCACTGTCTTTTCAGCAATTCAGGACTCTGGAACACCTTCTCACGGAGCTTAAGAAGGACAAAAGTCCTTTTTGTGGCTTTTCGTTGTGGTTTTTCCGCGCCAATTGGTCGGAAGAAGTAGATAAGGGCATACTAGGCAATGCTTTCTGGAAATTGAGTTTTCAAGATTAGTTAGATGGCTTGAAATTCTGTTCTCATACTCAGTGCCAACTAGATCTTTACTCAGTTGCTTTAAAATAATAAGTAGTAAAAGAGGATACAGAAGATCCTACAAACCATACTTACTGTAACGATTATTTTGAAGAAATTCTTTTACTAATTTTGTCATCCAAAATCACTCTTTTGGACAAAATCTTATCAACACAGCGTTGATCCTATGGTTTGGATTTGTCAAGGCTCTCCTCCTGAACTCTAGAGCAAATATTTAATTCGTGTGGATGTCGTTTGAGGACACTGTAAGGTTGATTGTGTCTCTAGAAGGGCAATGCCATTGAGAATTGCTCCTCTGCATAGTAAGAATGACCCAAGAGTGATTACTCAAAGTCCCTTTGCTGGAGCAAATATTGAAATCCCCATTGCAGACGAGGTTGATCAGTGATGTTGTGGCTGAGTTAATTAATTTTGTCAAACATGGGTCAGATCTTTGTTCACCCTTGCATTGGGACTTCCAGAAGAGGACAGTCTGCAGTGAAGTCGCCTGGTCACCTGATTAGTCCCATCGAATTGCACAGTTCATTGAGGTGGAAAATTCTATTTACTCCCTCTCGCCTCGTGCCTTTTTCTGCCCTGCACACACACTAATCATATACCACCACGGTGTTGGCTCTATTGCCCACGCCTGGAGTCCATCAAATACAAGAAAACACAATTTTCAGTACGCACAATCGAATGTTTGCTCACTGATGAATTATGCAATAAATAGGAAATCGTCCTTGTAGCCTTCGAGACGAGCTCTTTCTTCCAACCCCGGAGGAATCGATGGGGATCGATGGCGATGGAATTGAATAAGAATGCCAGAGTCTTAACCGTATACCTCAGCATGTTTAATGGCGTGGAAGGCAGCAAGAATCCACCGAGACCAGCGGCAAAGAAATGAAATGAAAGTAGGAGGAATCTAAAGTTCTTCCAACTGAACAATTTCCCTCAAACTCACACCTTCTGTCCCTCCCTTTTCTCACTCACAAAATCAATCGTCAGCAGAAGAGATTTGCTCAATAAAAAATTATTTACCATTCCCAAGTTGTGATTTTCCCTCACAAAATGTGCGCAAATTGAATATAATGATAAAAAGAAATGCACAGTGAAAAGCTTTAAATGTCGTGAAATTAAAGGCAATTGTTGGGCTACCCACGAACCTCTTCACTGGCATTGTTATCGACTTTATGGTGGGAGACTTTAAATAACTTATTTGGGAAGTTTGTGGCCGCCGCACACGCACCCTGACCCACAAACGGGATTGAATTTGACCCGCCCGAAGACGTAGATGCGCCGGATTTTGAGTCTCATCGATTTGAGGCCGAATTTGACGAGTTTTTCATTGCTAATGGGATGTCATCAACTTTCACGGTTCAGCTGACAAGGGGTGTCGCGTTTTTATCCACCCTCGGGCAATTCAACAGAGGCGCCGAGCAGGTGGGAAAGTGGCTTTTCTTTAGCCTGTTGCGCTCTCGAGAGTTCTGTTAATTTGCACTTGGCAAAGTACTTTCGCATTCTTTGACTAAAATGTAGGTCAATTGTTGATTTTTAAATTCTATTAGATAAGCAATTTATCGTTGTAAGCTTTTACATTAATTAAAACTGCACTGAATTCAAATCAAAATAAGATGGAAATAAAATTTATGCCAATTCTTGCCCGCAACCATAAAATCCCTGCAATGATTATGAAATGGGAGTGAAAATGCTTCTAAAGCAATAAATTCTGGCGTGGTAGATTATTTGGAAGAGTTTTATTGGTACTTTGGCGAGTGTATAGCGATGCATTTACCCCTCCTCAAAGTGTGATACTAATTATCAATAAAACTTTTGAACGGGGAAAAGCTGGCGAATATTGCAATTGTGGGGCTTTCAAAGAGATTTTATCTGATAAATCACCCTCTAATGATGCTCAATATAGTTTTCCCATTAATTTTCTGTGGATTTCTTTTTGGCACTTTTTGCCCATTTATCGAGATATTTATCATTTCATATTTCACGATTTATTGACTTTTCATCCATTCGCGAATATAAGGATTTTCATGGGTTCTCCTAACGATGCAATCTTGTTAGTAATTTCAGGAAAATTCCAGGCGGACACAAAACATTTGGTTGAGCATGGGAAAATGCGCTAGAGAAGAAACCACTTGAGATTTTTCACTTAATCTAATGTGAAGTGCAATTTTCCTACCCCCAAGCGAATGACTGCAATTAAAGTCTTAAAACGCAATGAGTGATTATTCCATTAGTGCTGACATTTCATTTAATTTCCCCCCACACTTTGCCCGGAAAAATAACTTCCTTAAGAGGCCAAGAAGCTCTGAAGAGGTCTAACCATCCCTACGACATGGGGTGTTGGGATACTGAAGAAAATTTCAAAGTGAAATTAATGAGAAAAGCATGTTTTTTCCGTCCGTGGCATTTTCGCTGAAGAGCAAATTGCCTCAGCCACAGAAATTCTTCCGCCCAATTTTTCCATGTCATTTTTCTCCCTCGCACTCTTCGTCATGCCTTTTTCCACATTTGGTGGGGTTGTGGCGGAGAAAAAGACAAATGTGGAGGTTAGAAGATGAATTCACTTTATATTTGGACGAAAATCGACCAGATGGGACATTCATTGTGCCATCATTGAGCGCGCAGGCCAATCTTAGTTGCGGAGCGCCAAAATCCAAAATAACACTTACATACAGATGTTAGAAAAATTGACCATAAATCATGGTGGAAAAGTATCTGTTTGTGACACAACTTGGAGGCACGCAGAGAAATGCAAACACGTTGATCCGGCATGGGATTCCGCCAGAATGTGCGAAATTAATAGTGTTTATTAAAAGAGGAGCTAAACGAGAGAGACATGGAATGCTCATTTCATTAAATCTACCATTTATTCCCAGCACACACGTCTTGTCGAGGCTTTGAGGAAGGGCGAGTGGTCCAGATGTTCTACCAAGAGTGTACTACTTCATTCAAATGCTTTAATACCAGTTTATCCTGAGAAATATACAGGAAATGAATGCGTTTTGAGTGACATCAGAGGATAATATTCAAATAAATGGGCTGGGCATGCAAATAGGCGGAACTCCCAAAACATTTTACTCTAATAGCTGTACTCTCTGAATGCTGTAGTCCAACAATCGTTTTCTCGGCGTGTGAATGACTCTAACCAAAGACAGAAGCACCAGATATTAAGCACTTTTGCCAACTTTCCCCGAAGGTCGAAAGCGAGAGTCCTGGCCCCAGAGGTGTGCTTTAAAAATTCACCCAATTGTCCGTGAGGATCAATGGCAGAATCCCAGGCTAAATCCACCCCGAACTTGTGGCAAATCCAACTGGGATTTGGCAACTTTTCCACCCTCGCTAGGGTATCTCGTGAGCCATATCAATAATTTTGAGCTGGGAAATCTCAATTAAATAAATTTTTGCCCATCTGAGCATTTATCACGGTGGCCTCAGCATGTGGCGTTCCAGAGAGACATGATAGTTTATGTCACTTCTGGGGCAAGTGGCAAAAGTTCAACCCCAAACAATGTTCCACTGCCCAACTCTGAAGTCATTTGCAAAAAACATTGAAACATAACATGAGTCATTACAGAGTTAACAACATTTACATATTCTATGTTAGATTAGAAAATATATTGACAGAAGAACTTTTCATGGCGCATTCCAAGATGTGGAAGCACTGATTCCATTTCCACGGCTTCAAACACAAATTCAGCGCGCTATTGTGAGTTTGAAATGAATGTCTGGCGTGATTTCTCAATTCCCACCTTAGCCTTCTGAGATTATGGCCCTTCAATGGGTGACGAGGTGTCTGCACAATGAGGAGCTTTCACATGTTCTTATGGGGATTTCTATCCTCACGAAGAGTAAATGCTTCTAGCATAATCATATTTCATATTTAGCCTCTCGCAGATTTTTCCTTGTGAGACGAAAATCTTGGACTCATGCTGTGTCATCCATTTTCCAAAGCCGCCCCATGCAAAATGGGTCTCAGACAAGTGAGGGAGAGATGCTAAATTGCAATGGAAGGATTTGATGGCTATGGAAATTCTTTTCACCCAAGCATTTGTGTGAACCTCTCTTCGCGGTTGAGAGGAGAATCATCAACTTCTTGTCACTGGGGAGATTCAATCTCTTCTGAAACAACTCGATAACCTCTACATCCCTTCAATGGGTATGAATTTTTCACTTGAGGAATTTCCATCCAAACATTTTGTGGATTTACCTGTTGAACTTGGGAATAAAAAGAACCGGACAAAGTCAAATCCGCGCTTTGATCAACATAAATCCCTGCACATTCAACTTTTTAAAGATTACACCATGAGAACGATATTTTCTGAGTTAATTACAAAGAGGAGCTTTTTTCCGGCGTTGTTTTACATGCGAAATATCGACTTTCCTTTTGAAAATCCTCCCTTTGAGCTTTTTGAGCTGAGTGAAGGCATTCACGAGAATTGAAGATGAATCATGCAGAACTCCTCAAATGCCCAAGCCAATCCCACTCCATTGACTCATTCGCAATGTCTCGAGGGAACAATTGAAGAAAGTTGGTCGAAAAGCTCCCAGTGGCGATCAACGTCTCTGACAAGATGGCGAGTGTTTGCAATTCATCCATTAATTCGATGCTTTTTCCTTCATCACACGTGTAATTGGATTTGGAAGGCGAGTTTAATTAAAATTTACAGCCACTGGAGAGTTCAATAGCGTCCGTGGCAGAGCTTCTTGAAGAAAGTTTTTGCATTCAACCTTCCAGCCCCAGCAAACATCGAGGAGTTGTGTGATGAAAATACTGGGGAAACTCTCGACATTTTATGCTTCAACTTGCAGAAATTAACATTGTTTTGGAGGAGAGGGAAAAACACGTAATTTCAGCAGAACGCTGAAATTCAACAAAATTGTCGCTAATTTAAATGCGAAAGCTCACCTTATACTTTAAGCTAAAAAATGCTAGGAATTTTTTTCCTCTCTTTTAGATAATAAAGTTCGTCAGTTGCAATTACATACATATGCCTTCATCTCTTTGAATATTTTCGCTTTTGAAGGATTTTCATCATTGAATGAAAAAGTGGGTAATTTCCAGCACTAACACTTTACTAAAGAGCGAAACTAAAGAGCCACATAATGAGTGCGAATTTAATTCTTCGGAATGGTAATCAGAAAACTCAACAGTAACTTTTTCTACGAAATTATCTTAAGTAAGCAAATTAATTCACTTAAATTATATGCATTCCACCCATTTTTGCATGTTATCTCAGTTGAAATAACTTTTCTGGATATAATTTCGCCTCCATTCAGTTGAATCAATATTTTTCTTCGCCTCCAAAGAGCACATTTCCATTAATCTTTATACTTTTACCGTGAATTTTAATCATATCGCCTATGCTGCGCTCTGGTGTTGTTTAACTCACAGCGACTGAAATCAATTAACTTGCTGTTGCATTATTGATGTCGAGTGAAAATTGTGTGAAACCACAACAGCTAGAAAGGGAGAAGCTGAAGTAATTGGTAGATTTCTAATTGGCAAATTCACCTTGGAGGCATTTTCTCTTGTCGTCCCTCTCGCGATGTTTCGGTATCGATTTTGGCAGTTATTTATCTTTTTCCGGGAGTTGAATAAAAGGCTCCACAAAAAAACCTCGCTGCGATTCGATCGCACACTGTCTTTCTCACGAGATGAAGCAGTGGGTGGTCTGAGGGAACCAATAAAGAATAATAATATTGTGATTTTTTCTTTATGCATGATTCATAAGGAGATAAAATCCGCTACGTGGAAGAAAGAATATTTTTTTCACCGGGTTGAGAGCACTTTCAGGGAAGACACTTTTAATACTGAGTCTTTAATTATGCATCTAAAATTATCAGTTTATGGAATTTAGCGAACAAAGTATCGGAGAGAAAATGATTCCGCCAAATGCCGCGAGTGTAACATATGCTAAACATTGCAGTATAGAAACAACCATGCGAGACAGCATGTGTTGCCTCGAAGCTTTCACACCCCCATTGTCATGCAGATATTGTGAGCTTTCGCTGAGGAGATAAACTTTTATCATCAATTCCGTGACGGAGGCAAAAAAGCCGCCAAAATGGGTCAATATAATGCTGTTGGGTAGAGAAAAAAGACAGCCCAATGATGTTTATTCTGTCTGGGCGTAAAAGCTTCACAATGGCTACAAAATTTCACGCGCGGGGCTTTCGTTTCCACAACCCTTTGGCGACGCCCTAGAGGAAGATTGAAATTCACGTCAGCGAGATGTAGTTGGTGGCAAGTTTCCCTCTGTGAAATCCATCTCAGGCTCATTTGAAGGGGTTTTCAAGTACATATTAAGGCTCATTTGGGAGCGCGTTAGTTGCCGCAAGATGGTAATTGACAGTCTGTCAATTAATTCATGGAGGATTCTTCAAACTTATCAGTATCAGGAGGAAGGCAAATTTGTCCTACAAGCAATGTTCTGAGAATGGGATTTCAGTTGAGTGAACAAGGCGTAATCCGCGTATCAATTACAGTGAGATTCACACAGATTTTGTTATTGAAAGTGATGATAATCAGGTAAACTTTTGAGCCTTTTCCAGTGTTCATAGCAATCTTACGTAGATATTTCGGACCATCACATGCTCCATGCAAGAATTCTAATCAGCTGGGCATCCTTTGGGATAGTCTTTGTGGATTCAGTGGTTGGCTTGATGAAATGTTTGAAATTCATTAGATTTGACGAGAGTGAAATCAGGTGAAACAGGTGGGCTATATAAAGTTTTTATAGGTGCTCATCACCCGACGAGCTTTTGATAGGGAATCGTGAAAAAGTTTCACACACAGCGCAATTCTGACATACATATAATGCTCAATGATTCCACAGAGGCTAAGACATGTCCGTTCAAGGCGTTAGTTTCTCATCAAAAGTTGCTCTCTCGCCCATTTTCCGGGGCCGAAAATTACAGATATTATTCAGCTATACCGCCAATTTAGCAGCCACGTGGATTGCGTGTCTTAGTAAACAAATTTCAGAGAGTGGAAAATTAATATTTGGTTAGGATGAAAATGGTTGCGATGCTCAGTTAAAATCACATCAGTGGCAGTCTTTTTGCCACTGATGGTTTTCTTTGGCAAATGAGGGCTCATTTTCCCCTTATTTTTAGCTGTGGAGCATCAAAATGGGATGCGCTCGACGCCCCCAAAAACTAAAACTAAAACGACCAGTTTGTATACGTTTATTTAGACATGATTTCCGGTACAGCTGGCTAAATAAACCACTCATGTCAGCACCGCTTTTCACAATAAAATAGATAATAATTGTGCCACTCAGTCTTCTCTCTTCTCATATCCTCAATCTCTTCCGGGTGGGGAAGTTGAGAAAGTTGTATTAGAGACGGGAAAGTCAAAAGGCCACCCCTCGTCCTCTTGTCAAACGCACAAGAATAAAGATAATAATCGGGACGTTTTGTGGATCTTTGCTCCACTCTCTCATCATGCCCCATTTTAACAATAATACACTCATTGGAGAGGCCACTTCAAACGGAAAATGTAAAATACAAAGTGTCTGTCGCATAAATTCCCACATCTCACCAATTTACACTCAGTCCTCGCAGCATCCAAAAATTCCTCTTCATTCCCACATAACCGAGGGGCCCGAGCTTTTGCCAGTGAAAAGCTCGTGCTCAATGTCGAGTTGATTTTCAGTCTGAAGGCGTTCTGTGAGTGTGATTTTGATACGTTAGAAATGCTAATACCGTGCTCTCCAAGTCTTTTGTGCGCTTCTTCTACTTCTCGTAACTTGAGGTGAGTTTTGCTCAAGGTAGATGCGAATGTGCACACTTCAGAATTTGCTATAATTTCGTGTGCGAAAGACATATTTGCGAATTTATAAAATTTCCATTAGAATGTCTTAAATAAAGTCTTCATCTGCAGGTAAATTTGTATTTTGCCGAAATCGATGAAAACTTTTTCAACAAACTTCTGTATCACGGTTATTTGAGAAGTTTGCTATTAAATTTATTCTGACAGAAAATTCAATAGTCAGATAAATAATTGTTTTTTTCATTTGTATAGACAAGCTCAAAGCTACAATTTATCTGTCTATCATATTTTAGATACAAGTTCTCTTTGAAAGCTTTACAGTAAGTTTGACCTTAATTCTCAAATGCGAAAATTACCTCTAAAATGACTGCAAATGATACTTAGCAAATAAACATTAATTTCTGTGTAGGACATCTCTCTGACTTCTTGCTCTCTCTTTCTGTCTTCTTATGACTTTTTCCAAGTTTTCGTGGGGGGAATTTCTAAGAATAAATTAGAAAAGCGTGCACCAACTCCAAACTTGGCACATTATTCATGGCGAGTAAACTTTCTACGCGTGATGATATATCAAAATTATTAAAGCACAAACTGCCACAGTTAATTGCCTCTAAAAGTAATTTAATTCTTAATACATTTGCCGTGGAAAATTCGATTGACGTAGTTTTGTCAGATTACACCCCTTTTCTCACATTCACGATTATATGTATATGAAGAGAGAAAAAACTACCCACGATTTTTCTTGCATTATTCATACCAAGAAACTTAACCTGACAAGGGTGTTAGATGGAATTTAATTGTGAAATAATTTAAGTAGAGTAGACTTGAGAGTAGATTTACAAATTGTATTTTTCACACAACTTTACTCTATGAAATAGTTGCATTTTCCATGAGCATTTCATTCTATCATCACATTTTCCACATTCTAATTATTGTGCTTTTGAGTGGAAACTCTCACAATCTTCTCTGCCTCTTTTTCTACGCTCTGTGAGTGGAGCTTTTACAGCGATAGATTGAGCATACTCAAATGGGATTAAGCTGAGGGATTAGACGATGTCTTGGGTGGATTTTCCTCTTCACAGGTGCCCTCTTAATTTATTTACCTCGATGGACACACCATTTTCTGTAATCCAAATAGACTGAGGGCCCATATTTGGCGCTGAAGGCGATGCACATGGTTGCAATTTGCAGGACAGTACTACACCACACTTGTCACTTATCCACCTTCGCTTGGGGAGAATCTCAGCACGAGTCACTCTCTTGTCATGAAAACCCCCGTTTTTGCCACTTTCTCACGAAATCCCATCACATTTCCACCTCAACACGCACGATGCCACTCCCAGGGGTTCATCGGGGGATGGAAGAGAAGAGATGCCAAAATCCAAGAGGAACTATGAAAACACACGTCTGGACACCGCGAGCGACAGATACACTGACGAAAGGAGGCACCGAACGCTGCCACAGCAACACCCCGACTGAGGGCACTAGAGCTGGATGATCTTCAGCATCTCCGGCCGTGAGGAGCATCACTTTCCAGTGAAAGTGAGCGCACGCGCCCCAGAATGACTTCCACACCAGGGGAACACTTCTCCGCCTGGTGGAAATGCCTCAGGACGAGGAGTGAGAAGGTATCGCGGCAATTCTCACCTCACGTGTGGGCGGGAGGAAAGAGCCCACCCGGGAAGACAGTGGCATTGCCACACTTGACCCAAATGGAGACACTCAGGACGATTGTTCTTATTGTTCCCACAACATCATTACGAGAGTGGATCGCCTTCTGGGGAGCGCCAGACAAAAAACCACCTCTAATTGCTCTCCCATCCTAAGGAGGCACACAGAGTAGAGAATTGGAAGATAAGGAGTGCCTCGGTATCAATAGACATCTTTGTGAATAGCAGAGTGTATGGCAATTCTACATCGTTATCAGTGACATATTCTGCATTTTTTAGAAAACACAAAATGAAATCGACGGTAACGGCTTTGGGTGAAAAGTATTTTCCTTTCGCTATTATAATTGCTATGAAAGAGAGTGCAAGACTAGAATTAAGTGAGATGTAATGATGTAGAACGTTTAAAAGAGAAATAAAATGGTAATTAGCAAATGGATTCATCAAATTTGCAAATGTAAATGACTCGAATTCAGTTTTATCAAATACACTGCTGAACATTTTATTACGAAATAATGAAGGTTTACCCTTGAGGTTTATCAAAAAAGGTACTCTCACATGACTTGTTTCCAGCCCAACAATAACAATTCTAACAATTGTTGACAATTAGGATAGAAAAAGTTTGCATATTTTATATGCGCCAAGCATCCTAAAGAGCTAATTAATATCAGAAATTACCCGATTTTGCGACCTTCAATGTTAATTTATATCGAAAAAAAAGCATTTCTTCTAACCGTGTGACTGAAGCTCAAAGTCCAACATTTTCTACCATGTCATCGTAATCCGTGACATCCGCAGCTCTAACCTTCGCACGGGCAAAGTCAGGCCCCGGAGGGGGCTTTAGGTGAAGACAGCTCGGTGTCCAGCAAAACAGCTAATGACGGGGCTGGGAATTTGTGTAGCGATAATTGCGCTGATAGAGTGACTTGACAAGTGCCAAATCCACCCACCGAGACCCTCGACACTCCTGTGACCGATTGGCGACAGTCGCCTTTTTTCCGCCGCCCTGACGTCACTGGCGGGGTCGGTTTTTTATGCTATAAGGAGCGCGCGCGCCCCTGACAGTGGGTGAAAAGGGTTTCACTCACAAACGTGCCACGGTCGCCCACAGAAATTTGAACAAACAACGAAAAACACGGTATGACAGTGGATTTGATGCTAGGGTTAGAGAAAATGTCATATGAAGGGTGTTCGCGCGTGGGAAAAGCCCCCAGACACGTCACTGTTCAGCCCAAATGGCACCTGGCGACGTGTGAAATCCGTGCGAGAGTGAAATCACCCTGATTTGGGCTCGGGGAGTCGCCGGAAATCAATTAACATGGCGTTATTTGCCAGGTGGGCGGTCAAAGAGCGACGCATTGGCTGAGCTATTGGCTTAGTTATTGGCATTCTGGTTGTCGGTCATTCCTTTGAAATGCTACGACAGAACGTTAGGATGTTTGTCAGACACTCGTCGAATGTCACAAATCAAATATTTTACATGATCAGCACAAAAGCAGTGACACTCCCAGCAACCCAGAATAGCTCTCCTACTATGTATGTACAAAGCGTACATTTCACGACACTCATGCTCGAGGAATGCTCAAGTAAAAAGGATTTTAATAAGGATGGTGTGAATTAATTGTTTTAACGACATGTATGCACAGGGAAGCTTTGGGAGTTCATATAACATACTTACACATATTGATGCGAAGTGAACAATTCTGACCAAATGATGAGTGAAATAGGAAAATACCAAATACTCTTTGTAAGATATGTGTGCTTGGGTGATGCTTGGGAAGCACCTCACGATTGCCGTTGAGCGAATTAGAGTGGCACTTTCATTTTCTCTTCGGAGGAACACGCGCGAAAAAAGCGCGCTAAGGCGATGCAGGAGAAATGTACACGATTCACACTCTATTTCCACTCTAATCATTGTGCCGTCTGAGTGGAATATCAAAGCAGCATCTGTGTGTTGGGGAATGCCAAAGTGCTTCCCGGAACAACTGCCAGTGGAATATTCTTCGGTGGATGGGCGCCAACGTGACACCCTAAGCTAGAGAATAATTGAGTTTTTCGGGAGATTCGCGCGCGAAATCTCACCCTAAAATCCAATTAATTCTTTTGTCTGGCATTTACAATGTCTGCTGAGGACATTTATTCCCTGAATCGATATTATTTGAAATGCAGAAATTGAAATTCATGAAATTATAACACAATCCCAGCTTGAGGTGCTTCAGCTCAGAATACTCGAGGCTTAATTGAAAATATCGCTGATGATGAAGATACATTGGCAATCGTCCAAAATGAGGTGCTCTATTTGCATTTGACAAAAGAAATTCTGGTCCCTAGATAAAATCGATAGAGAAGAATTATTTTGGGACGAGTAAAATGACCCACTTTGCAAAATCCCGCCTACTAACAAGCCCCGCCCTCACTGAAGTTCAATGTACTGCAGCGCAACTTAATTCTCAGCCAGGACTCAACAGTTTGTGGCAATAAATCAGACATTAATGCTCGAAGGCGCGTGTTTTGTCGCGTCGCTGAGAAATGGGCGCGTGATTGAATTTGATTGGAGACAAATGGGCGCACATCTCGGGCCCCCCGCGGCCCCTCTGTCTGTGCAGTCAGCAAATGAGGTCACTCCTGCTGTAAATCATCTCCGTGGGTAATTCTCCGAGGCATGAGACAAAAGTGGCACGGGTGGAAGTAGAGCAGAAGCAATTTTCCACCTTGATTTTAATAAAATGCCTTCGCCGAGAGTGCCTCGGCAATAAATGTGGCACGACGGGTGAGCTTCCTTACGATGCACACAATAAAAGCGTCTGAAATGCGACCAGGAGTAATCCTTTAAAGTTAGTTATTGTCCAGATTAAATGAGCATTTCATATTTTGCGAGCTTCTCACCTTTCTCTTCACTGTTGCAGAGGAATTTCATTAGATCCCTGTGTTTCGGGGATGAACAATGCTTTTATGAGTTAATTGAAAAGCCCTGAGAATTACTATTATAATTGCTATCTTTATTATTCGATACTTTATTTATTTCTTTTGCTTAACATGTTCTTGTGGTTTTGTATTGAATTTAATCTTGTTTTTGTTGTGGAATACCTCAATTATGAATATAATTAAACTTACAAGGCATCCAAGAATTGCAATCATGAATGCATGACGACATTCTAAAATCCCAACACTGGCAAATTCTCCAACATTTCCCTCACATTTTTTAAACCTTTGCACAACCCAACGCTGCAAAGTCGCATCGTATAGACCAACTTCTCGTTGCCACGTCAAGCGTTCCCTAAAAATTCCTCTATAAGATGAATTTTTTACAATGGGTAGAGAATGTCGAGGTATACTAATACTCTCGATTTCCTTAAGTCCACACTTTTCCGACTCAGTGTAAATATCGCTTATTATCTTATAAGCTGTGTGTGTTTCTACTTGATAAGCAAATTTTCCTGTCCTTATCTTGATCACTCCAACTTCAGCCACTTCATAAGCTTTGTCTCCGAATGGCTTTATCTTCTTCTTGTACAACTCTATCACTTCCGGATTTGTGGTTTCGCCGTAAAGGATAGGATTGTATTCATTTTCTTGAACCAAAACTTTAAGGTTTGAATGTGTAACATCGGACACAGATTGGAGAGCATTGCTAGGGCTTTGAAGTAGTGCTACAATATTCGCTGAATAGGATGAGAATAGAAAGAGTGAAGATAAGAAGCTGACAAAGTGAAAGATTCTCCACGATAATAGGAAAGAGTTACGATCGAAGCCTTGTTGACAAATAGCGCCCAAGACGAAAGAGATTGAGTCTAAGAGAGAATACTCATTTCGCATCATCGGAGTCGTGATAATCAGGACTTGCAGCAGAATCAGGACTATTATCAAAACAATGAAAGACCACCACACATCCAAGCCAAAAGGAAGGGTAAAAATATTAGAAACAGATGCCAAAGATGGTTGTCTGAACATTAGAGGGGATCTTAGAATATAGGACTCTGTGATATACTCCACCAACTTCATCCGATCTTCTCTCAAGAAGGCACTCATCATACCTACTTCAATTTGTTTCTTCTCAAAGTGGCCCATAACTCCTGTCCATGAACCATTCTTAAAGTAACCATATGAATCCGTTTGTCTGAGGTTGTACGTGATGTTAAGGTCTAACGCTAGGTTCATCAAAATCTGGTAGATTATCTTTGGAATGGTGTCCAAATGCCGCATTCTAATATCATCAACTCTGGTTAGTCGCTCTGGATGATGAAACTATATTAAGAGACACAATTATTTCTATTCTACCAAGCTTTGAACTGAACTTACCGCAATTGTAGCTTTAATTTTAATTCCATTAAGAGATTTTTTCCTCCGATTTATCACATTGGCTTGAATAGGAGTGATTATCAGATCGAACTCTTTAGACACCGAATAGAGATCGAAGATGTTCCAAGAACCATTGGAATGAGAAAATAGAGCTACTTCACTGCTCATAGGAATATATGTTTGCAGAAGAAACTGCATATTTTCATTCTCCTCAGTTTTAATAAAGATCCAAGATATAATTTCCCTGAAGAGGTAATTTTCACTAGCGGTTGTCAATAAATTAGGCACAAAACCACATGATAGATCTACTACAATTCCGTTTTTCCTGGAAAATAGCACTGATGGATTATTTTTAGGGTCTTTTGAGACTATCACTGATGCGTAGTTCGCCTCATTGAAGGTTTTAACTGCAATATATCCATCATTCTGGCAAGAGTAATACACCACGGAAAGAACATTCCGAGCTCTGAAGAAGTTCGTAATCAAACTGAAGGGAATCGCAACACCACTGCAGACTTTGAGAGTTAATAGAAGATACAGAAAAGTCGAAGTTCTCATATTTAAAGTTTTCACTCTTCTGCAAAGCTACTATCGCGGGGATTGGATTTTATATTCTCTTGTTGCTTAATCAATATTTAAAGGATTAAGCAGTTTGTAACATAATTGAATCGAATGAGAAAATTACTGTTTGAAAAATATATTCCATATCACTGACATGAGTTTATAAACACTTGATTTAACTTTTCAGCTTGCTTTTCAACAGCAACTGCAATTTTCTACAATTGCTCCGCAAATTGCATCATGTTATTCTTTACCAGCAACCAATTTAAACTCAGTGAATTATAACCCATAGAGACCTTGCTAGAGATATGGTCTTGGATATGGTAAAGCTATTTATTTTTTGATAAACAACGTGAATCTCATCTAAACTTATGAATTTCAACTGAAATACCAAATTCATCCGCAATAAACCATCAAGAGTTGTGCGAAAAGCTTCACCTCAAGTCATGCAAAAGGACTTTCATAGAGACACATAGGAATTCATGCTGCAATGAGAGCTTCACACAAGCTGCACAAAAAAGTCTCCATAAGGAGATTAAGTGTGGAAGGAGAGAATTCACTCAGTGCAGCATTGTTGGCACAAATCTCCGTGCAAATTGCAGACTAAAAGGTGGAGCTTTATTTTAATCGAAGCATTATCATGCAAAATACATTCTATGTGCTTCGTTTCATGAAACTTTGATTCGAGTTAAAGGATCCTCATTTTCAATAGATTTTCACCATCACAGAGTTGACTCGGGATCAGAATATTCAGTTCAAAGCGATTACCATAAAACAGAATTGGGACATACTATAATTTCTCTGTTTATCTGACTGTTTGTTATTGCACTTTGTGCCATTTGGATATCGTTCCAATTGTGATTGGACTATGCGTAAAATTGCAATTTACGCATTTAGATTTATTTTTGTTAGACACAAAAAATTTAATTCCGAATTAAAAAAAAAAGCTCCCTGAGTTGAAATATACCAAAAAGCTCTGAAACTCATGCTCACAACGAGAAGTTGGATTTAATGATTTTTGCGGTGCTTTGCCTTCCATTTTTTCCACATAAATTGTATGAAAATGTCCTTGGCTTAGTGCCATCGTGTGAAGAGCGCAGCTGAAAGTATTGTGGAGGTTGAATTTTCCACGAGAAAAAGAACGAGCCTTATCTATAATTACCCCGGTTGTGGGTGGGAAAATCACCTGTGAAAATGTCTTGAATATCTCCTCCGCAATTTAAAAAAAAAACGAAGAATTCAATTATTTGGAGAGTTCTCGTGATAGTTTCTCTCTTACAGAGTTTTTTTGTCGATTTCTCTCACTCTGTGATGTTGGTAAAGACGGACTGTGGGTTAGTGAATAGCAAACTCAAGAAAGAATGACGTGAACTTTGGTAATTGGCTATCAATGAGACAATGTTGAGTTAATTGGGAATATCATTCGACTATTGGCGAGGAAATTGTGAGGAAACGGTTAAGCAATTACACGTAAAGGAGAGTTCTTTTTAGAACTTCAGCGTTGGCAATGTTCTGCATGCAGAGTCATCAAGTGAAGTTATGATACTTGTTGTTGGGGTGTTTTGAGGGGAAATTCTCATTTGTGGAAATTATGTGAGAGCGCCTGTGCCTTGGAAAACCCTCGAAGATGCTGAGGATCGTGGGTTGGTGTGCCTTCAGTCGGGGTATTGCTGTAGAAGAGTTCAGTCTAACGCAGTGGAGCTTAAAGCTCGTTCAAGCTGAAGAACTCGAGAGACAAATAAATGATATGATCTAAAAAATTCTGCCGCTCTATCTTTACAGCAATTTTCATCTATTCGCTCACTTTATGACTCTACTAGGAGTGGGTAGAATTGCTTCGGAGACTATAGAAAGTATGTATATGCCATCATCGAAGGGAGGGGATTCGAATCGCCACTCTCTAGACTATTTTTCATACAGTTTTATACGGCGGCAAACTGGACGATTTTTCTCAATTCAGCGGACATTTCCCAGAACATAAAAATTACGCTTTATACTAAAGAGGTAAACCGAGTGATCCTGCACTTTGTATGAATATTTAAAAGAGAATTTCACGGGCACAACTTCAAGTGAGATTTCAATTACATGCCTCGCAAAAATATGCCTTCCAACAATGAAAGTTTCATTCCGGGGCAAATACTTGAGAGCTTGCCAAAACTTTTTACTCCCAACTTGTAAATAAAAGATATTCAATCCAGACTTTTTTCTCCGTTCTTTTTTTACTTTTTCGCAAAGAGATTTCCTGTAAGGAGAGGGAAGAAGGTAGTATATTTTGGGATTTCAAAGCTATTCTGGAATGATAGTATACACGATTCACTGATGGCAAAATGCTTGAAACAACATTTCCAGAACACTCACTGAGGCTGTGAAGTTGTGGTTTCGGGATGAAGTCGATTTATGGGCGGAGCATTCGACTGGGTGGGATTTCAAAACCGCAGAAATGACTTAAATTTCCTACATTCCATTTTCTTTGAACTTGTGCGTGTTTAAAAATTTGCGGTCAATTCATCTCTGTGAAAATGCAATTTTCTCACAACAAAATAACCCCAACTTCATATCAAAAGTCAAAATCACGACAACCACAAACACGGAAAAAAGTTTATAAACCATGAGAAATTTTCATCAGTTTCCTCAAGGATTTATGGCATTTGATATAAATGGTACTCTATAGAACGTGAGAGCTTTCGAGTGCAAAGTTTTCTCTGGAGATACGCGATTATTTGCTGAGATCAAGTATAATTGCTGGTAAACACCCTCATTTTTGCCCCGTCAGAAGCATTTCTATTACGTTCCATCTTTCAGGGCTGCTTCTGCAAATTTATTGATGACCAATAAAAGTGGCGGTTGTCAGTATGGGAAAATATTTCCTATTGTAGGCTTTTCCCTTTTTCACAGGGAGCTAAATTTAATTGGTCATAAATTAGGGAAATGATGCCAGGAGCAAAATCCAATTTAGCATTATATTCAACATCTATAGCGAATTTATGGCTGTTTATATTTTGCGGCAACTGAAGAAATCCCACTGATAACACTCAAATGGTTTGTCATTTTCTTTTTAAATTATTTATCACTGCAGGGAGTGGTTTTTCTCAGGGGGGAAGTTAAAGATGGTCGGCCCAGTGAGGGAGAAAATTTTATTTACTCCCCGTTTGTTAATCAATTCAAGCTGCCACCGGAGAAATGCTACATGTATGTATAGTGGCTGTTTGGTCGTCCTGTGTGTGTGGGTTTCTTCGCACTCTGTGGACCACTCAAAGCTCACACTCAGTCCTTCTCGCACCACCTCTGATGAATTATGCAGCAAATACAACCCTCACGAGAAAATACTGGTGGCCCCAGAAGCAAAAAGTACCTCGGCCAGAGTTGATGCCCATCGATCAGAAATCATGTGTAGATACATTGCATGGAATCATGTACTTTCGTTCACTGAGACGAGCAGGAAGACGCAGCTCTGTTCGACGGGCGCGTCCTTGTAGGACTCCCTCATTCTCGCCTGGGAAGCCCATCTGGAGGCCGCCGTGGATGGATGATGTTTAGCGTGTTGTACACAGCAAGGATGCCATCGATCTTTGTAGCAGTGACCACAGCCCCACTAAGTGAAACGATAGCAATCTGATAATTTATCACGCAAGAGAGTATTTTCCACTTTATGCCTTGCTCAATTTCCTTGAAAGTTTCTCGCACTCTCTCAGTCCATCGCCGATCAGAGAGATAGTTAGAGCGAGAAAAATAAGGTGAATCTGCTTTTGCACCCGCTATTTTTTAATCCGATTGAAGCGACCGTGGTTTTGTATGTGTCTAATAAATCATCCATGGGAAAATGTTTAGCAAACACAAGCATGGGGATTTCTGTTCAAAATTTGGTTAAGAGTGAAAGGATAATTTCATGGTTAAAATAATATGTATACATTTATTATTCCATCCAGATAAAGCAATCTCCTGCTATCACTTGTTTTGACACACAATTGTCAAACATTCATTTTATTTTATGATTCATGATTGGTTTATTAATGGTTTAACATTTAATCTGTAACCAAATACGTAATATTTTATAATACTCTAATTAAATTCGATTGAATTAGCATGATGTAATTTTTGGGCGATTCTTAAAATATAAATTATTGTTACATAATTGTCTATTTTAAAAGAAAAAGTAATGTTAAGTTATGATCTATATTTCTCTTCCACTTCAGGCGAATAACGTTGAAAATCGATGACTTATTTGTTAAGTTTTTTGTTATTGATCTCTTGGAATTAATCTGGATGCTATATATGTATTGAGACTAATATTTTCAAGTTAGAATATCTAGATTCTGATGTGCCTTTAAAAATTCAAATCCCAATTCCTTCTCCTTCGATAATTGCCGAAGGTTGACTTCCTGAAATCCGCCACTGTGCCAATAAATAACATCCCCGACCATTAACTTATCTCTCAAGAGTGACAATAATGGAGAAACTCGTAATCCGACAATAAATTTCAAACCCTAACCCATGAGCCAGGAAGACTGGAATTCATTTAAATTTCATTGATACAAATTTTAAGACGACCGGAAAGAGTGTGTCTCCGAGAAAGGTGAGTTTTTCACTTTTCCTGCCAGTTCATTTGGCAGGTGAGCGTGCTAGGTGGGTGGGTAGTTTATTGTCTTCGATGTTGGGGATGTCGGGTGGAAAAACAGGGAGTCTTGTTGAATATTCCACGATCGTTTGTATAATTAGTAAGAGTGGTTTTGAATAATTCATCCGGTCTACCCACGATCGGAAGATGCACCCCAAAGCTCAAAAAAGCCTCTGGGTGAGGAATACATAATTAGTAATGCGAGAGTGTAATTTAAAGCCACTGGAGCGAATGAATTTCTGAGAATTTATTGGCCCCTCGAGACGGCAGTGACGTCAGAAATAATTTTTCGGGAGAAAATATTCCAATTACAGAACTGAGAAGTGATCTATATTTACCTTCGAAAGCGAATGTTGTATACACCATGTTTATTCTTTGAATTGAGAAACTTTGATTCTCGTGAACATATTTTGTTGATTTTGTCGATTGAGGGACTTTCTGCAGAATTGCATATTTTTGTTATGCCATATGTGTGGATGAAATAATTGAACGATTCAGTAAAATGTCACTAAAATTCTGGGGGAGAATCAGAAGAACCTGAAAGATCAGTAGAATTTGATAATTTACGAAAGCCAGAGCTTTAACATACAGTCACCCTTTAGTTTATCTCTCCAGCGCAACTGTATTTTAGATGTAATTCACCCTTGAGCCCAAGCTTGAGCCTAAAGTTTCGAATGCACTTCCAGCGTAATTTCGGCGTACGCATTTGCATATGATTTTCGATGAAGTTGTACAATTCAGCTTTATTCTACATCTGGGATGTTTGGGAAGTTGAGATACTTGGAAATTGTTGCTATTCGAACTCACTTCTCCTGGGGCCATCTCTGCCAGTCAGCGAAACTCCATGAAGTCTCAGAGGAGTCTGCTTCAGATATGCATACATCATATGAACATATTGATTTGTGTTTTGACTCGCCTCAGGCTTCTTGTTGCACATCACTACCCAATTAATTGCAAGGAAAGTTCTTCGTTATGTTCAGCTCCGTGAGAATTGGTTAGAACAGACTTGAAAACAGTTTAACGCTGGAAATGTATATAGATTTTCTTGACTACAAATCAGATGTAAAGCTTCACATGTTCCTCTTATATGAGTGTCTCGCCTTGTGTATTTATCAGATGTGATATGTATTCAATAACAATTCTACGAGAAAATCTACGCGCTTTGAATTCATATTTTGGACGATTCTCTTCGTGCCACCCTCTCGAATATATCAAATTTTGCAGAGAAAAGCTCTATAAAATAGAGAGATCTCCCTCTGCCGAGGGCTAAGAAAGCTTGTCGTCTAGCTACAAGTACATTTAATAAAATTCAAGATAAAATTGGTCTAATGGGGTGACATGGAAATATTGTAGAATTGAAGTAAATTGAAACAGTTGTTTGACTGCAAAACTCATTAAATATAATCCAATTTTGCATTCATTTCCCATTTTAAGTGATAAACAGACTCGCCGCGCTCCCACTTTATAATTATGCCATTATACATCTAATTAAAATTGAATTGAACGACGGAAGTTCCAGCAAATTGAATTGACTGAGGAGTGTGGGAAAAAATTACATTAGTTGCCTAGACAAATGGGTTGAACATTTTCGCCACACGCGTGTGTGGAAAATCTATATTAGTTGAATACAAGAGTTGAATATATCTGATTCATGCTCCTAAAGGGTTTATAGACGCTCTAGTGGAGATTTATTAAGTGTAATTATGTGATGATGTTCCGCTGGTATGATCACAAAAGTGTACATCCTTGTGGCTAAAACGAAACTTTTGACGCGTGAGAAATTATTACCTGTTCCGGTGTCATGTTGGTCATTTGCCGGTCGTCGAGATGTAGGGATGAGAATTGCCATTAACTGCCCTTTCAGTGACATCAAAATTGTGTTTTCATGTCCCCCGTAATTCGCGTTGGTAGTAAATTTTGATTTTCTCGCTCCATCGTTTTTTTTCGCGACGCCCGGGGAAAATGGGTAAAATATTTGCCATGTAAACTATTTATTATCTTATGGCGTTCCATAAGAGTGGGAGGTGAAAGTTTAGACATGCGAGGACGAAGCCACAAAAAGGGTCATGTTTTAAATGACAGCCTCTTGGGGTGTTTTTTTTGCACATCATGCTTTTTGTCAGTACACCCGCTGGAAAAGTCACTTTTCACGATGAATGGAAAATTGTAGCCTTTTTTCACACTTGTCAGTCATCTGAATTGTGCGAGTTGAGAGCATCACAACTGGGCGCGCGATAAACCAAAAGGAATTGTTGCTCCGTGAGGCCAATTTTGGGAGTCACCCCAAGACAAAATCCATCACAATATCTAAGACGTGTGCGAGTTGGAATTTTTGTATGGAAATCCAATATCCCCACAATGCGCCATCCTCAAATTTGCTCATACATTCTCGCCCGCGGGGAACATTCTCATGGGGGGTAAATGGGGGCGGTGAATGCAATTGAATTCCAACTTGTTCCCACAGTTTCTCGCCGACGCAACTCTTTCTCTCTGTCGTTGTTATTGTGATTTTAGACAAAAAAGTATAGAAGATACTCCCGAGGAAATTTCATTTTGGATGAAGCAAATCCCAGGGACACTTTCTGCAGTGGAAAATTGAATTTCACACTCACTCTTCTATACATATTGCCGTGAGTGGCTCCCAAAGTAAAGTTTAAATTTGGCTGCTGTGTAAAGAAACTCCCAATTGCATACAGACTTGCATTCGAGCTTAACCAGATAGTAAACTCTTGAATATCCTTGATATATCTTAGAAGTTTATTTTAAAAATTAGAAGAAATCATTAACTGCACAAATAAGATTAGACTAAACACGGGCGAAATGATTTTTCGATTACCAATAAAAGCGAAAGGTTCAGATTATAAAAATGATACGAAATTGAAAATTTTACTGTTTGAAACTCTTTAAAAGGTTTTGAGTTGAAAACCCTACATTTCATGCATAATTTAATTAACAGAAGTAAGTAAGGGGGTCAGACAATGAGAGCTTAGTTTCTTATCATATCCTTAAACACGAATCACTCAAAACTACCTCCTACCCTCTGGAAGGTCTGGACAAATAATTTTATGTCGGCAACCTTGAAGTGGAGCCAAAATATCACAATGGTTAACTGTTCGCCCACTGAAATGGTTGCTGTGGTATTTATAGATCAAGAAGCTTTTTCAAAAAGTAAATACAACGCATATTCCTGAATGTCTATTAAAAGCTCACTTGAGCTTATTCTGGCGTTTCTCTCGAGGGGACTAAGCCGTGGGAGTGTTCTTGAAATAACAGAAAACTCATTTAGTGCCACTATCGCCTCGTGATCCGATGATAGTCTCAAATATTATTGACATGTGTCTCGAGCATGAGTGTGTGTTATCGTGTTGGGAATTGATCTACTTGAAATGAAATGGTCTCTCTGTGTATGGAGCTTTTTCATTCCCAAACCCCAAAATTCTCCGAACATATTTCATCGATTCTGCACGCATTCACGGGTGAGAGAACAAAAACATGCGAGAGAAATGGTATTATAACATTTTGGATGGAAAATTGGTACAATAATTCCCTGTCATATTGTTCATATAGAGTGTGGGCATGATGGCGCGTGTGTGTGTGGAAAAATAGAAGAGTGAAAATTGTATTTTCCATCCACACTCCATGAGGGACACTTTTGGACTTTCACTTGACTGGGTGTTGAAGAAAGAAATTGCTGATGGGTGAATAAATTGACCAGATGTTTCTCTTTTTGCTTCGCCACCCCTTGGAAGAAAAAGATGACCACACTCAGTGCTGGGAAATGAATATTATTTCAGGACACAGGGCTGTCGCTGTGCACGCGTGCTCAGGCTCAGACCAGGGACAGCTGAGTAATCGCCGGGTGAAATGAATTTGTGTCACCCGAGAACTGTGGCTGGATTACTCCGCAGGAAGACACCTCATCGTCTGGCCGATGGATTTGAGCCTTCAATCAGGCTCCGCACTTGGTAGCACCCAAATCAATCGGGAATTGATGGTGCCCATTTATTTCCCCAACATCTCAAATCACTATAATGCTCAAGCTTGTGCTCAAGGGAGGGTTTTGAGCATCGTTCTTCACTCACAGAGCACAGACTGATAAAGGATCAATAACACGCTCTCAGACACTTAACTGCAGGTAAATATTGTATGAACCGGATGGGATATTAAATTTAGCCATTTTTTTTTTAAATATATTAATCAAAATATAATACAAAATAGGAATTTTTAACGTCCGGATAAACATAAGTGAACACAGTTGACAGAGTTATTTTTCAAAAACCGTTTTAATTGGATTCCCAATGCATATTGGCAAAATGATCGTAGGGATATTTCCGTAAAATGCACTTCCGGAGCACGAATAACATCCGTTCTCTGAGGAATTCCAACAATGCCACAGGCGCAAAATATGTTTCGAACCCATTTACACGTGTCGTCTGAATGCCTCTCGCTCTCTCAGTTTATTCCCGAGCAAAAACTCATCCCCACACGAGTAATCGTGACACTTTTAGTGGCATGTTTTTCATGAATTTTAATTTTAATAAATTCCTCACGAATTCTGGGAATACATTTACCGCGTCTCCAGACGCAATAAATCCACCTCCTTAGAATAGGCGCGCGCTTTAGAAGAGAATATGTGAGAAAAATAAATTCTTTTCCCATTATGTGAACCAGAGGGATAAATTTTTATGATGAGACGAGACTTACACATGTTTTTCACATATATGTAAAACCCCCTATCAGGAAGCCTGAGAGTGGAATTTCAATTGAGCAGCATGAAGTTCGCGGAAAATGAGTTTCTGTGCAGCAGGAAAGGTGCGCCCGGACAAGTTTTCTCCGTGCAAGAACACACCTTCCGCTAATTTTCCACGGTGTCACCTTCAGGAGGTTGCGAGTGGCATAATTTATTGTGTGAATTGCATGGAAAAGTACGTATGAAATATGCATATTCACTCCTTCATAGTTTCCAAGGAAAAAAATCTAATTGGCCAGGGACTTTTTCCACGAGCTTCGTTCTTAGACTGGGGCGAAATTGTCAGAGGAAGAGACGAGACGCGGAAAATATTCATTTGCCAAATTGTAAACTCAATTGATGTGCAAATATTGGTACAACAATCAATGCGTATCGTCGAAGGGGATCTTAAGATGGTGTGGGAGGTTATTTCAGCGTGTTTCAAATTCCCGGAAATTGCTGTGGAGTTTCGTTGACTAAAATTTTGAGATTGTTATTGGTTTTTTTTAGCAATTCATATGATCATTAGTGTTATTATTCTTATTGAAAATTTTCCTTCCATTCGACATATGGGCGTTTAGAGAGATAAACAGGTAAGAAGACTGGAAGAAAAATGACTCTTGACATGGGAGATGCGACTTGGAGATGCGAGCCTTGAGTAAAGTTATAGATTTATCTCTCCCTGTTGCAAGAAAACATGAGAAGAATGCAGCCACTTTACAAAAGCTCCTTGACGATAGCACAACAAGACGTCATTTGCGTTATTTGCTGAGCAACACAGCTTAGGAAAAGTAGTTTGGCTCTCTGACGAAGGAGCGCTTTTTCCAACTTTTTGCACTTTTCTTTTTCTTTCATGTTAAGGGCGAAAAATGCACCAATTAGGGAGTGAGTATATTGTATAAAGAGACAACATGATGTCAAAACTTGTGTCAAGTATAATCTGTCATGCAAGCTTTATCGATCGCGTGTTGAAGAATTGATGAAGGAAGACCGTAAATTTGACCCTGAGAGGTAGAGTTTGTTAATCAATTCAGTTCATTTCGTGTGAAAATCCCTCCCCGGTATAGGCTCCACCGGAAGAACGAATGAAAGTGAGATGAATAATGCAGGACAGGTGGTAAATTTCACGTAGAATTTACAGCACTATTAATTTTTAATTCCACTTCTTGCAGCTTCTTCTCACGCACGGCCTCCAGAGGCGAGTTTAT